GGAGCGTCTCAACCCTTGCCTGATTCAGGGGACGCCCGCGGGGGACGATCAGCCAGACAAAGAAAATGGCTCGGGTCATCACTGTCACCCGTCGCACGTGGCGGTGGTTTTGGAACATCATACGGTATCCGCAGCCGCCAATCACATGGGAGTCGAGAACAAAAAAGCCTCGAGGCTGAGTTGGCGCAGGGATTCCGATGACGACGCGTCTTTTTATTTACCGGCCGTTGCCCACTTCAATGAATTTAGATTAAAATCCTATATAAGGCGGGCAAGGTAAAAGGAGTTCTTTTTTTTAGTGTTTTTTGCACGAAACTTTGCGCACGCGACGTATAAATACCGAACAAGGACCTCATTTTTAACACTCTCGTGGGGAATGTTTTCGGACAATGGCATTCCAGAATATCATTCAACACTTGCGCGCGCGCTTTGGGAAATATGAACGACTTTACGACGAGGAGCACATTGAGTTGGAATCACCACCTCACAAACGATGCGTCCCCAAGAAATTTGGATTTCCAAGGTTCAGGAAGCTCACAGTCTATCTAATCCTGATCAACCTGATCATTCTCGGCCTATTAATTCATTCCATCCGCCCGCTCATCACACTGCTCATACGGAACAATGAGCTATTCGCAATTAATTTCTCTGTCAACCACGCAGCACAGCCAGACGCATTCCAAAGGCCAGATGGGAAGAAGATACCGCGGATTCTGCACCAAACAGCGCCCAACAGCTCTATTCCAGAGATTTGGGCGGCCTCGCAGCAGAGCTGCCAGAAAGCATATTCTGACTTTGAATATAAGCTCTGGACTGACGAGGGGGCGCGAGAGTTTCTGAAGGAGGAATTTCCGTGGTATCTCGACACTTGGGATAATTATCCTTTTCCGATTCAGCGCGCAGACGCAATCCGCTATTTTGTTCTGTATCACTTTGGTGGGATTTATATGGACATGGACACATATTGCAACTCATCCTTCCCCGTGGATCAGATCGAATCACTACCAGGAAAGGAGCACGCCTTATTCAAATCGACATTGCCGACTGGTATCACGAATGATTTTTTGATCGCGACCGCAAGGCATCCAGCTTTCGCATCGGCTGTATCAAGACTCGCCAGCTTTCACCAAACAACCCGCCTCTGGGCCCGTCTTCAACCTTACGCAGCTATCATGCTGTCAACAGGTCCTCTCTTCCTGACCTTGGCAGTGCAGCAATATCTGCTCGGCCAGCCAATTCTCCCATCACCAAAAATACACATCATAGACCCCGCGATGGTGGACCATTACATGACCGATTTTGAAACTGCGACATGGCATCAGAGCGACGCTCAGGTGCTCAAGTGGCTCGGCGACAGGCCGTGGACATGGTTCAGCCTAGGAATCATTGGGGTTACCGCCGGCATCTACACATTTAATTGCGTGCTATCACGAACTTTTATGACGTTTTATCGTAAGCTATTATAATACTCAGCGATTGCATTTCTCAAGAAAAAATAAAATTTCAATTTCCCTGGCCAGAACGGGCACATAATTTCATCCCCCTGTCGCTGTTGTAATTTACTCGGATAAGCGGCACAATTACGTGGTCATGGCTTCGCTCCTGTAATTTTCGGCTAGTTCCAAAGACAGAAATAACCGAAAAACTCAAGCCGTCGAAAATACGGGATGACCAATTAGAGCGTGAGGCGCAGGCGTGGGAAGCTGATGAATGGGCCTGGTCCAGATCGTGTTGTTTGTGAAGTTGACAGCCACGGAGGTGGCTTAGCTGTCATATCTCGTACGCACGTCGACGACAACAGCCCCCTTTTCGTCGCATATGCAGGGCCTTCTGTAAAGTTCAATGAAAGGTTTAAAATATTGGGGCTTTTTATGCGCGGGCCCCGAGGAGTCGCATTGCATAAAATTGCAACTTTAAATTGAGTTTAGGGTCCTTACCAGCGACTTGGGTCAACTGACTTTATTACTACTTTGTTGCCCGCTTGAGCCTCGAAGGAAATATCAATGACATAATTGGCTCTCTTAGGTTTGGGGCTGGGAACATATTTGTTCATGGGGCTGGAGGAACAGCCTGATTGATGGCTAGTGATCACCTACGAAGTATGAAGGCGATGACGGGCTGTTTATCGTATAGGAAGAGAAATGACGTGTCAAGGGCAGATCTGCGCAGCAAAGGATCTTTGTGTTTCGGGTTGTTCGGCTATATCGAGGATGCCTGATTTATGCTTATTACAAAAGTGGTATCGGGTTCGGAAGGGCTGTCAAAGTGGCATGACCAGCAATGGTTGCGGGTGCGGTTTTCCATAACAGACAACAAGACAGGCTCTGTGGATCAAATTATGGACTGCATCTGACAGATAATTCTACAGATACTCACGAAGGGAGAATATTAAACCGCAAAGGTTGTGACAGCGAAGGCCTTTGATATGCATAAATTCCTCAGTACTGGTCACTTCTTGTATATTATAGCATTGTTTTTCATGCTGTCCAACCCTTTTGGCTTGTTCTATTACAGTAACATCCTTTCACTATTTAGTGGTTTTACCAAGGTCTTCTTCTGTCCTCTCTACCAAAACTTCAAAGATACGTTGGACATGCTCCTCTCGAACCCTCTCAACACCTGTACATACACGAATCGCAAACTTGTCATTGACAACGGTGCTTGTAAGATAAAACTCCCCTGTTTTGTTGACCCATTCATAAAGCTCTTCCGTTCGAGCATTGATCTCCGCTTCATCGGCCCCCTTGACACGGAAAGTCACTAGGCCAAAGCGCGCAGATGTGAAGATGGTGAATAGATCAGGTCGACTGGCCAGCTTGCTCTGAAGCGACTCACCAAGCGTAACTCCGTTTCGAATATGCGCTTGCAGTCCTCGGATGCCATAGCTGCGAAGAACGAACCATAGCTTGAGAGATCGGAAGCGTCGTCCAAGGGGAATTTGCCAGTCACGGTAGTCAGTGACCAGTTCATTGTCGGAAAACTGGTTACGCAAGTACGGCGGCTTGATGCTTAGGGATTGGATAAGCCAGGCTCGGGATCGGACCCAAACGGCAGAGCAGTCAAAGGTAGTGAGCATCCACTTGTGCGGGTTGAAGTTGAAAGAGTGGAAGTCGGCCATTGGTGTAGTCAAAGGCTGATTCTCCTCGAGAAGGAGTGCAGATCCTGCATACGCAGCATCGACGTGGACCCAGATGTCCTTCTCTGTCCCAGCGGTAGGTGACAGCGCCTCGACGATGCCAGCAAAATCATCAACTGCACAAACATCCGTCGTGCCCATCGTGGCAGTCAGGTAAAAAGGTTCCAACCCACGAGCCCGCAACTCAGCTACCGTCTTGGCGACAGCACGGCCAGTCATGGCAAACCCGTCTTCTTCAGTGACCGGAATTGCGACGAAGCGGACACCGAGAATCTGCGCAGCCTTCTTGGTACTCGAGTGGGATCCAGCGCTTCCCAAAGCAACAAGTTTGCTACGCACACCCCAGACAGCATCTTCATCCATGCCCTTGGTGACAGCAGCGAGATACTTGTCACGAGCAGCACACATAACAGTGAGAATAGCCTCGCTAGCACTACCGTGAATAACACCACCTCCATGGGTGCTGCCACCACTCAAATAGCATTCCGGAAGACCGAGAGCCTTGGCCAGCCAGTCCATGACGATTGTTTCAAGCTCTGTAACTGCTGGGCTGCAGATCCAGTTGAAATGGGCACCGTTGAAGGTATTCGAGTACATTTCAGCCAACGCAGCAGGGTAACTGCTTGAGCAGGGAAAGAAGGCCATAAATCGGGGGTTGGCCCAATGAGTGATTCCGGGAAGGATTTTAGACTCAATGTCGGCATGGATGTCGCTCCAGGACTCTCCTTCAAGGGGAGCTGAGGATGGGAGCAGAGGTCGGAGGTAGCCTGGTTTCACATCGGATACGACACGCTGCGAGGAGACATTGTCATAATAGTCAGTGACTGTATATGGTGAGCATCAAAAGGTCATTGGTTCAGTCTTAGAAGACTTACTCTCATCAATGGCTGTACGAGCAGCCTCACGAAACTCTGCAGAATCCATTGTCTGTGTAGATGTTTGAACAAGATGCTGTCTTGAAACTGAATGTCGAGGAGGATTTATGTCTGTCTGGTGTTGCATTTATATATTATTCAACAGAGACTTCACAAATATCGCGCTTGTTTCCGATATTGCCTCGAAAGGTGGGGGAGCATGTCATGTAACTCGGATCCAGTCACCGTATGGAAATTCCGCTTGGGGAAAAGTCTGTTTGAAGAGTCTCCCCAGATAATGGCATTAGCATGTCGCCCCATTTGTGATGGACAGCCAGTCTCCGCCCTTCTTTTGACAAGACGAGACCCACCTCGGAATTATTACCTTGAGGCGTTCCGCGTTCCGAGTCAATGTAGGGTATTGTGATGGAGTTTCTGATGATAGGACGTTTGACATACAACATTGTATCTTGCATAATACACCATAGTCAGTCAGATTGCATATTGCTCGTTTGTTATTACCGTTCTGGGATATCTCTCGTATGGAGGCACTTAGTAATTCAGTTCCGAAGATCAAATGATCGCAAATTGTTAAGGTCGGAACATAGGGGGGTTATCAAAGCACAACACCAACAGCTATACTTGAAACAACCCTTGTCAACCAATTCAGATCTGTTGGTCTCCCAAAACGTTCAACCCGTCGTCAGGGTAAAAACAGGCCCTGATCATCTTGACACCATTGCTCAGTGCTATCTCTCTGAGTGTCAAATACTTGAAGTCTAGATTGTTCAAGGAATAAGAATGTAAGCAAAAAAAATAAATAAAAAAATTAAATTAGATTTTTAATTTGACCAAGCTAATATTAAAGACCTTCCAACTTAGAGCCAGGTAGTATCTCATCGGCATGGCGGAACACAGCTCTCGAGCTTGGCCGTGGCTTGGATAAGATAAGCCCCAGCTATGACATGGCCATGGAAACTATTGATGAGTGCAAACAAAACAACCAGAACTTAGAGAAAGGCAACAGCAGCGGCGCCAATGGCACCAACCAAGCCAGCGACCTTGCCCGAGAGACTTCCAGCTCCGTTGACAACAACAACAGGCTCCGAGGTCTTGGCAGGCTTGGAGGTCTCCACGCCAGTATGCTTGCCAGTGGCAGAAGCCATAGTGGTATGGGCAGCGCAAGCCGTGGGCTCAACGAGAGAACCACCGGGGCCGTCGTAAGGGTTGTAGCCCAGGCACTCAGCCCACTCGGCGGCGCAGGTAGCGTGGTTGGCGTCAGGGGCAACATTGCAAGCGTCATGGGCCTTGTTGCACTTCTCGAGGCAATCGCCAGCCTTAGCTGTCTCGGTGGCAGTAGGCTTGGAAGAATGGGAGCAGGCTGTAGGAGTGACGAACGATGCGCCGCCATAAGGGTTGTAGCCAAGACACTCGGCGTACTCAGCAGCACAGGTAGCATGGTTGGCATCAGGCGCCGTGTTGCACGCATCGTGAGCCTTGTCGCACTTCATGACACACTCATCAGCCTTAGCAGTCTCGGTGGCAGTAGGCTTGGAAGAGTGAGAGCAGGCTGTAGGAGTGACGAACGATGCGCCGCCATAAGGGTTATAGCCAATACACTCGGCATACTCAGCAGCGCAGGTTGCGTGGTTGGCGTCAGGCGCAGTGTTACACTTGTCGTGAGCAGCGTTGCATTTAGCAAGGCACTCGTCGGTGGAGGAGGGAAGGGCAGGGATGGAGTCAGTGGCGGTTGGGTAGATGGGAGATGAGAAGGCTGTGTCGGATGCAGCAGCAGGTGAAGCGCTCGAGAGCTGCGCAGCACTGAGCACCAGGCCGAAGAAAACGGAACGAGTGTTGGAAACCATTTTGAAGGTGAAACGATTGTGTTTGCGTGCTTGAAAGGGATTATGGTGAGAGTGAAGGGAGGGAATACTTTACAAGGCTATACAGCCGTTGGTATTTATAAAAGTAGGCGCCGTGTCTCGTTGTTAGTGTCTCTCGTGTAGGTCATTTAAAATTACATCTGTGTCATCACAATTCCTCCCCCACATTCTAGGCACTCGATCACAAAGATCCTTATATCGTATAGAATTTGTTCGTATTCGAAGTCGCTAGGCAAGATACATTCCTCTAGCTCAGCGAGATGAGACATTGAGCCAATCACAGGGCAAGAATAACAAAGGGAGGGCCGTAGGCTTTGTGGCGTTAGCCACTAATATGCAGTGTCTCAGGAACACCCAGCCAAGTGCCGTGATCTCCCTGGATCTGGAGGAACAGTTACGTCGAAATAAATACTGAGAATGGAGTGATGTCTTGTCTTTCACATCCCCATCCGCAGTCAGGGTCGCGAGCCGGAAAATTACACATATCTTCCGAAAAGATTAGGTCTTAATAAACAGGTAAGCTCCGAAGAAGGATATCTGTCATAGTTATGAGCTTAATTCTCAACCTACTCATCGCTTGGGCAACCGTAACTTTCATTCCATTTATAGATCGCTCAACGAGTCACGTTGATGATCAGGCGCATGCCAGTCGATGATAGGGTGAATAAGTGTCAGGTCTGGAACATAGGGCTGGCTCAGACATGCCGACATCCGAACCGAGGCAATTGAGGCAAAAATGCCCAAGCGCAATACGAACTGCTAGAGATCAATGCTGTCTAGCCAAACAACACTATAGCTATGCCAATTATATACCACGAGCCACATCAATCTGACTTTCTTCGTATCCATGAGTGCAATAATAAGACAAACTTATAATGGCGCCTAAAGCTTCGGAAAGAGGTCATCTTATTCCAATAAAGCGGTCATCGGAAGACTGTTAACATAATAGCCTACTCGAACGAAAACAATGTTCTTATGTAATGTCATCGGAAACATATTTAAGGAGTTTATATAGCGATTGTCCTCTATGAAGCCCTTTCAAAGTCATTTTTGACACGTTGAGACAATTCTGCATCTGCCAACACCCTAATTGCTGTCATCGCAAGCCCTCTGGCACAATCCATAGCTGCTTTGTGAGCACCCTCCTTTCCAGCACATGTAGCAAAGTCTGGATGGTGTATAGATATATCTGGGGTAGTAGGGATAGCAAATCCACCATGGAAACCCGGAACATGGTACGAAACGTTACCCATGTCCGTTGAAGCAGGGACGTTCTCCTCTGGCTTTATCTTCAGTCCCAGCTTGGCCATTTCCTCGACGTAAGTGTTTGAAAGGGTGCTATTAACTAGAAGGTCGCTGTATAATGGTGCTCTAAGTTTGTTGAGTGAGCAAAACGATATGAGATAGAGGAGGTGAAACTCACATTTCGTATTCCAATTTGCAATTCGCTGCTACAGCTCCGGCCTCGAAGCAAGCATGCACTCTCTTGACGAGGTCACGGCATCCGGCCAGCGTGGGACTGCGAATGCACCAGTTCATTCGAGTGTACTGGGGGATAATATTAGGGACTGTACCACCATCTTCGAACACACCATGCACTCTCTCATCTGGTCTGATTTGCTGTCGCAACATGGAAACATTAACATATGCAGCAACAGCAGCATCTAGCGCGTTAATCCCATTCCACGGTTCCGCACCCGCATGCGATGCTCGGCCCTTGAAAATGACCTTGGTCTTGTATGCCGCAATGCTTCTCGTCCCAGCTACACCATTGTACACCAGCCCATCAGAGCTTGGTCCCGAGGTCATTGGATGCGACATCAAAGCTGCCGCGATATCCTGCGGGGGATCAAAAGCCCCAGCCTCAAGGAGCTTGATCTTACCGCCTCCGCCTTCTTCAGCAGGCGTTCCAAGGATGCGCAAGCGCCCGGGGAGCTTGGTCATCTGCAGAGCACGAGCGGCGCTGACAAAAGCCGCGAGAGAGGATGTAGCAATGAGGTTATGGCCGCAGCCATGGCCGATGCCTGGGAGTGCATCGTATTCAGCGCAGAAGACGACCTGACGACCTCCGGAGCCGAATGTTGCTTCAAAGGCGGTGTCGAGGCCCCATGCGTGGCGTTTGACTTGGAAACCATTATGTTCGAGGAAGTCGGTTAGTTTGTCGTGGGCAAAGACTTCTTGGTATGCGAGTTCGGGATGGGAGTGGATGCTGAGATTGACTTCTTGGAAGGCGGGATTGAGAGCATCCAGTGTTGAAGCGATAATTGAGCTGCACTGGTCGACGATGTCTACCTTCTGCAAAGGCACAACATCGCCAGACGTTGGCGCGAATCGGCCAGGGGAGGACGTTGAATCAATCACCATCATTTTGTCTGGGGAGATACAAGTATATTCTAAGCTATAAGACACCGTTGGATGCTTCTCACATGACATGCATTGTTATATACTACTCTCGACTCGCAGGTCAATGTGGATTTGTTCCGAGGAGTCTTAATTACCGGTTCGCGGTCCGGGTGATTCAGTGCGTTACCAGTACCCCGATAATGGCGAGTGCCAAGCCACTGAAAGCAACCCCAAGTTGTTATCAGGGTTAGTGATAGGGGACCTCCAGACCTGGGTAAAAGGCCAAACGCTTTCTGGACGTGTAGCCGACGAAAGATAGCGGGCTCCACTGAAATTGCCGACCAGTCTCATAAGTAAGGATCTCCTCACTCTGCAACTTCAATCACACATCCACTTGCCTGCTCATCCATCTTATGATTCTTGTTATCTCGTTCGACATTGTTTATTTGGCCATCATCGTCGGCTATCGGCTATCAATCCAAGAGCGGAAATAATAATGTCCTCATCTCCCTCCACTGCAACTTCACCAACGCCACTAGGCCGATCAGCTCCGAGATCCCGGAGCGGCTGCTGGACATGCCGAACCAAGAAGGTCAAATGCGACGAGATACGTCCTGTTTGCCGACGATGTCTGCGTCTCAAGCTCAGCTGCGATTATGCACCCCGACTCCGCACCTTTCCTAAAGGGTCCCCAGCTGGAACGTTTGTCCACTCAAGCCTCGACTTCTCTCGCGTTGAGCCCAAGCCTCACGCAGATGTATCAGACAAGCCTTTTTGTGGCAAACTCCGGTCTGAAAATGAGGGGAAATCCTCCTCAATATCCACCTCGTTGAGAACGCCTTTTGAATGGGGCACTTACGGGATGGTACTCGGCAGTGAAGAGATTGAAGCGATACAGTACTTCCGGGTGTCATTTTCGCCGCTGTACATCATGAAGAAGCCACGGTACTCTGCATTTGCGATTATGCTACGCCTCGCTACACATGAACCTCTTGTACTACATATGATACTTGCGATTGGAGGCTGCGGTATCGATTACCGGCACCAGTGGCATGAGAGACAGTACGGTGTATCGACAGATGGCGGTCCCTCAAAATACCGGACACTTGGGCTCAAGCACTACTCCGAGGCATTGCGAGAACTACACACCATATTGGGCGATGAAGAAACAGCCGCGTCCGCCAATCTTGATTCACTGACAAGCGGGCTGGTCCTCATGATTATGTATGAACAACTCCATGGCGATGCCAGATGCAAGGGACTTGCCAGTCATCTAAACGGGGCAGCGCTTATCTTGAAGCATCATTATGCTGATATCCTACAACGAGCCAGAGATACAAGTCAGTCAGTTCCTTTAATGAGAACAACCCAATCAGGAAGTCCTCGACATCTATCCCAATTTTGTGCTCGGCTGATAACAAGAATCTGCGGAATGGACGCTGCAGCGGCATCTTTTGGACTCGGCGGGCAGGTTACTAGGGTGCTCTGCAGGACCTTACCAGAAGGCGACGATAAGAGCAGTTTGCCGATGGGTCCAATCAAGAGACTGTCTAGTCTCCACGCTTATTCTGGACCGCTTTACCGTTTGGTCTGGGGCGATGACTACCCCGCAGTAGAGCTGATGGATGATCTAGAGAACCAGCAGGTCTTTGAACTGTTGGATGCTAGTGTTCAGCTACGGTACCTTATCTCCGAGATTACGAGTCTACAGCCAGTCGGTGGCTTAGGACTAGCGGAGGCTTTCAGTAAGGTCGAGACCGCGATTCAGGAGACGAGCGAGAGATACGTGAACATTCTTGCCTTTGCGTCACGGCTCACTTCAGCCACTGATAATTCTTACTCGATGGTCCTGAGCATACGCTGGGTAGTACCTATATACTACACCGAGGTCCTCGACTTTCTCCGCATCGCCAGAACCATACATCCTCCTCTAGAACCAGAACTTAGCAACAGCAAAACGATCCGTAAAATCATGAATCTAGCATTCCAAGCTTATCAACACGGAGGAGACGTGGCCATGGTTCGGATTGCCCGTCCACTATTCATGGTGGCTTTAGAGACTGACGAGGAGCTCCATGTTTCATGGATTCTTGAGAGATTTAGAGGTTTGGAACAGTTTGGGGAGCATTTTGCGCGCGCGGGTGACTTTTTGGAGAGGGTTTCGAAGATGAGGCCGGAATTGAGAACGAGTATCGATTTACGGACTGCGTTCTCGAATCAGGCTACTTCGATATGCTTGTGCCTAATGTAAGGGCTATTAAAGGACTAAATCTGAGCTTCGATAGTCTCAATTACAGAGACGCTTGTGAGATTCGATCTGCATCACCGTGCGTCTTTATGCCTTGTTTCCGAGGTACGCTCTTTGGTATATCGGGACTTAGGCTATCTGTGAAACCACGACGTAAGCTTGCTATCGTGTACCTGATCGATCTATGATACCCTAGTACACTCCACCGCCTTATCTCCCGTTGTGAATCCCCTCCCTTGTCGACAGGGATGTTGGCCGCCATTGGAACCTCTCGGCCTCATTCCGCGGATCCTCCACCATTTCCATCTGAAGTCTAGTCATAAAACTCTATCAATAAGATATGATACGGTACTTCAGATCTCTCATCAGCTACCCCGCACTTTCTCGTCGGCTATCAGAACCAATGTGGCTAGTTCATCTCAACTTCCCAAGCCATGGTGATAGCTAATGTAGTATTCGGTTGTTTGTGTTGCAAACGACTTCTCCCTGTTTCGTCAACGATAGCTCAACCTAAGATAAGTTCGATATGGAGCACTTAAGATGGCCCTTTCCCCCCTTTCCGTTCGACATCATCAAACAAGTCATCAACATCAAATCGCCTCCCAATACCAAGCCTAGCTTCTACGCCGGACAATCAATCTGCAACAATGACTAGCAAAGATGTATCAGACACTGTTGACATCAAGCTCGAAGACAAGGAGCTCGACAAAACAGACCATGCCTCAGTTGCCAATGGAGCCGTCCTGGGTCGAGATCTAACACCAGAAGAGGATCAAAGAATCCTGCGGAAAGCAGATCTTCAGTATGCACTCATAACCGACAAATCCATTTTCAAGACGGGAACTAACGTAGAACAGTCTTCTTCCTATCATGGCATTTGCCTACCTCTTCCAGTTCCTAGACAAAACTGCACTCAGCTATACCGCCATCCTCGGCCTTCGCGAGGATCTTCACCTCAAGGGAGAAGAATACGGCTGGTCATCTGCAATCTACTACTTTGGCTTCCTCGTCGCAACATACCCCATCGCCGGTGTACTGCTCGTTCGATTGCCCATTGCAAAGGTCATCGCTGTTACCATGTGAGTATCACTGTTCTGTCTACCCAAAGGTAGAGTTCGTTCTCTGACTGCCACTCCTAGGTTTATCTGGGGAGCCATTTTGATGTTTACGGCGCTTTGTCGCAACGCCAAAGACCTACTTGCAACTCGTTTCTTTCTCGGTGTGGCTGAGACTGCGATTGCCCCCGGTCTTTCTATGATTGTGGCTATGTGGTACAAAAGATCAGAGCAGCCATTACGTCAAGGTGCTTGGTTCCTCGGAAACACGTCTGCGGGTATTCTTGGTGGCCTTGTCAGTTATGGCTTCGGTGAAATTAAGACATTTTCTCCTTGGAAGGTAAGTGGAAGATATTATGGGGCTGATTTGTTATACTAACTTCTTTGAGGCCATCTTCATCTGCTTCGGAGCTTTGACGATAGCTGTTTCCATCATGGTTCTACTTTTTCTCCCCGATACTCCCGCCAATGCCCGTTTCTTGACCAAAGAGGAGAGAGCTCAAGCCATTGCTCGTGTTGAGGCAAATATGACTGGCATCAAGAATGACAAATGGAAGAGGGAGCAGGTTATGGAGGCACTCTGCGATCCAAACGCCTGGCTTCTCGCAGTCAGTTATCTTGCTGCAATCATCCCCAACAATGGACTTTTGACGGTAAGTCGTGCTCTTGTGCCTTTATGCATAACGACTCACAGCTTTACAGTTCAACACCATTGTTATCCAGGGTCTTGGCTTCTCAGTCCTAAAGACACTCCTTCTCAATATCCTGCCATCTGTCTTTCAGCTGGTCTTTGTTCTCATATCTGTCATTGGAAGTACCTATCTCCCAAACACTCGGCTGATGTTTATGGCTTTCAATGTCATTGTCAGCATCGTTGGAGCTGCGATGGTGCGTGAGGTTGACCCAGCCCATAAGTGGACTCGCTTTATGGGTTGTGCTCTCTCTGTTTCCTTTACTGCAAACTTTCCCATGACCATGGCGATGGTATCAAGTAATTTCGCTGGGTTTACTAAGAAGACTACGGTCAGTGCCATGGTATGTTGATCCCGGATTTGGCAGTACCCATCTGCATTACGCTAACTTGAACACAGGTCTTTATCGCATATTGTGCTGGGAATATTGTTGGTCCTCATCTCTTCTTCCCTTCTGAGGCCCCTGGCTACAAGTCGGGATTTCTGGCTATTATGATCTGCTTGGCAATTTCTGCTATTCTCTGCATCGTCCTGAGGTTCTATCTTATCTGGGAGAACAAGAAGCGGGATGATGCTGGAGATGCCATCGAGGGACCATCAGAAGGGATCAATCTTAGTGACAAAACAGATAGAGAGATCCCTCAGTTCCGTTACATCTATTAGCTAGACTGTATACTGTAGGCAGTATTATATAAATACAATCTTAAATTGTAGTAGTACTTAGTTATAAAAAACAATTATGATTATGAATAAGTAAGCTTACTTAATAAAAAGAAAAAGCTATAGCTTTACCTTACTTAAGATAACAGCTTACTGTTAGCATTAGGGTCTTGAAATCGCTTTCTTCAGAGCACTGCGGGCGGCCAGGTGAGGAAGCTGAATCAATTATCATCATTCTCGTCTAAGTAGCTGCGTGAATGGGGTTATTATTAGCTACCTGCGCTCAGTCTGGGGTTTCCGCCTAAGATTTGTGCAAGTGACATAATTGCGGTTCAGTGCTTCTCAAATGACATAGATTGTTATGTACTACTTAGAATTCGGAGATCACTGTAGGCAATGGATTCTCCGAGGTTGAGACTGCTCGGCCTGGGCAAACCCAAGGATCAAATGTGACGAGATACATCCCATTTGCCGACAATACGAACTCCTCATGCTCAGCTGCGACTAGAGGCACAGATAGCTTTTGATCATTGCCGACGGTGCGCTACGACTTTGGGAGGGAGAGATTGATCAAATAGGGATCCCGGCAGGAAAGTACTGTGCATTTTAAGTACTCCCTAGGTCACAACTTGCCCTAGAGTAGCACGCCTGACAAGAGATGCCATTTTGTTCTGAGACTTTACCTATAAAATATATGTCAAAGCCATCTGAAAGGGATGCCAATCTATGTTGAATATATCTTGATGGTATTTCCGTTCTTGAATAAAATGTTTGGTAAGATATCTTTCAATAATCTTTATCTCTGCGGTCGGATATGATAGCCGGGTTATTGGAACTATTGGGCTTAGTGCTAAGCACTACTGCAGACGTAGATAATTAAGAGATGTGATATGACAGCTGGCTGGTGGCTTGCGCCATAAAAGAAGTCAGGTGGTTATCTCACAAGGTCTAGAACAGTCTTTATGCATCAGCCCTGTTAACCCGGCTTTCAATACCTAGGTATAAGACTCACTTATGCCCGTCAGTTTTAGAGGATGTAGACCTTGAATCAGTTTTCAATAACACAAGAGCCCAATATGCACTGTCTTACCTCCTATTCCTTACCTCTCTATCTCTGGGTTATCTCCCTTTGTATTTTAAGCGCAAAGGCTTTACCTGGAGGCTGTGGCGGGTCTTTGGGCACTGTCAGTATCACTTCAGCACATATTCAGGGACTCAGGTGGACCTGTTCGAACATCGACCCAAGCTCTGTGCCGGGAAGTGGTGACAATCTGCTACTCTCACATTCGACTGAAAGTGATGTGAAGAAATGTGGAACATATTGTGGTAACCGCTTCTTACCTGGCGACGTCATGGCAGCTTTCTGGTACCCGTATAACTCGACGTGCCAGTGTTGGAACATTGGGTTATTCAAGGGCAGCTTCACCGCAGCTCAGCATAAAACCTCCAACATCACCCTTGTTGACTTTTACGATAGGCCGCCCAGCCCTGCGGTCAAATTTGGTATCTTTACCTGCCCAGCTGGTGCGTACAGCGCCAAAATGTCGACTTACGGCTCCTGTGGCCCTTTAAGCGTCACCCCTGCCAGTGCTCCTTTAGTCAAAGGCACATCAGCCTTGCTTACTTGTAGGAGCGTTAAGGCAGAGTATGCAATCCAGAATAGTAAAGGGACCTTTGATTGCTACAAGGGACTGTCAAAAGCGAAGTACCACTATCAGTACTTGTCGACACTCACTCTATACGACCTTCTTGACTTTCAAGCACCTAAGAAAAAGGAATAACGAGCCAAGTTTACAGTTCAATTGAACTTAAATCAATAAGGGGGATAGGGGACAGGTTATAGGGGTAATTTACAATCTAAATGCCTGGCTTTATATAGTTTAGCTATGTTACTTGAGTTAACCTAAATAAAAGACTTCTATTATTAATCTTGTTTTATAATTAATATATATATTAATATATATAAGATTATAATGAAATAAAAGTCTTTTTTTAAATATTAAAATTTAGTATTTTATAGATTAAATATTTTACAATAATATAAACTAATATTTAAATAAAGTGTTAATTATAATATAACTATATACTATAATAACCAGGACTTAAATTTGTCCCGCATCTTGTCCCTCCTCCTCCCCCCCCTATCCATATTAGGTGATAACCTGCCCGGTTTTGGGCTGTGTGAATGCGGCCTACCGCCATCAGGCCGAAGCAGCTCCTGGCCGCTCGCGCTGGGCTCGACTGCCCAGCTAATCATACCTCTGCGTCTCCATCGCCGCGCCAGCAACTCCAGCCGTTCCGCCTCGCGTGGCATATCACCAAAATACATTTGAAGGGCACCACGCACATTTTGCCGCCCTGTGAGAGTTGCAGAGTAATCTGCGCCGTGTTCGACGAAGATGCCGCACATATCGGCCTCAAACACTTGGCTGTCGATTGAGGGCTTGAGCAGCGCCGATATCGTCTTGTCGGGGACCATGCGACTAACGTAGTTGACCCAGATACTGGCCTGTGGTTTGGACAGAAACTGGAGGGCAGAGATGTCTGACGTCGTACCGTCTACGGCCATGGCATTCGGGTTGGCCCCCCGGTCCAGCAGCGCCCGCACCATCCTCGGTTTTATCTTGTACGCTACCATGGCCTGCTGCTGGCCGTGGAAATCAACCTCAAACAAGACATACCTCAACGCCCATGTTGCATCGAGACCGCACCTAAACACCGACATGTCCTTGAACTTCTCTCGGATGTACGAGTAAAATCCTCGCTGAAGCGCCAGCTTGACAAATTCGCGATTTGAAGGACCAGTGTTCGACTTCACGACGTACTCTCTCACCTCGTCAACAATGGATACATCGTATTCATATTCAACGTCTTCCAGCTTGGCAGCCTCGGATATGATTATTTCTACCACGGGATGCGGCAATGCGATGTTGATGGACTGATTCGCGAACTTGAAATAACGGCTTGCAGTTTGCACAATTGACTCAGATGGCTTGAAGCACTGTGGAACCCGGCTCTGCAGCTTGCACTTGACGGGTGGGCTGTGCAGGTAGTCGTTAACTGTGCGATGCAGAAAGTCTATGCGCTCGTGGCAGTCCGTAAAGTTCGTTCTATACCCGAGATCTTCGACAACCGTCATGAGATCTCCGCAGTAGGCCTTGAGCCGAGCTCGTAGCTTTCTCAAGGAATGAAGGTGGTCCACGCTCACGGGACCATCTTCTTCCTCGGGCAAAATGTGGGCTACCAAGGTTAGCGGAATGAGGGCGTTGCTCTCCATAACACCTAACAATATTCTCGACGATGCCTCGTGGTATCGCGGCACGATGATATCCAGCATCCTTCCAAAGTAATCTTCCAGCTCTGATGGGAAGTCATCCACGATTCGCTCCATCATCTTCACAGTATCCTCATTTGGCAACGACTCTTTCATATTCCGCACCACCAGGAACACCCACAGAAACACCCCCTTGACCTTGCTCACAATCTTGTGAAGCACATGCTGGTATTCCTGATTTTCTAGAACCAGCTGCTTGAAGCTGCGGTGCTGGCCCAGCATCTCATGCACATATCTCCGGATGTCCTCGATTATGCTCGTTCATGCGCAAAAGTGCTTTTTCGTCGTGCCCAAACGCTGCCTCGAATGTGTTCCACAGTCGGCTTGAGACACAGAGTTTGATATTAGGTGTGTCGCTGAGCTCCTGCACAGCCTGGGCTATCTCATGTGATTGGCCCATGTATTCGTCTAGACCATCCACGAAAAAGCAGAACTTAATGTCGGGATGACTAGATGTTCTTGACTTTTCACTGACGAGGCGGAAAATCTCTTGCAGTTCGCTCAGCGTCCATGGTTGATCTGTGATCCAGTCGTCCCATCTCGCCCCCAGCACCCGGGGCATAATCGCGGGCATCTGCCGAAGCACTTCATAAAGCAACGAACGCAAAAGACCGCTTTGGGATCGCTCAAGCTCTGCACCGGGTTTCCAAAAGAAGAAGTCCGCCATAACGAGGTTCTGCTGTTGTCCGGCCCAGCTTCGCAGATACTGTTTGGTCCGCGGGTCCAGATAGACAAACTTCATCAAGGTCGACTTGCCGAAACCGGCGTTGCCAGTAACCCAGTATACCCCCTTGCCCCTTTCAAGCCATTCACGAAAATGAAGCCGCTGGCCCTCGTGGTGTTTCTCATAGGCCCATTCGAGAGTGGTGAGGTGTCTGTCGGCGACGTTGTGGCGACGCAGCGTCATTCGGTGAAACCGCGACGACCGCAGCATATCTGTAGCTTTGGCGATCTCTTGAGCCTCAGCGTACAATTCGCCCAGCTTGTCGCGCTAGGCGCTATCGGTGAAGTGAGTCAAACACGCCGCATCTACCCCAGGCCTGCTGTGCTGAGGCGCATGCAGTATGTCGCGAAGCTCGTCCTTGAGGTCCTGGACGCGAGCGAGCATCACGTCCGATTTGATGCCAAGCTCATCGTTATTGCTTTTTTTGAGCGTGTCGATGGATCGCTGTAGAAACGATTGCCTATTCAAAACGGCATTGATCATCATAAGCTGCAGGTCAGACCTGTAGCCCTCTAGCCTGCCGACCATATAGTCAATCTTTCCTTGCACCCACACGCTTTGCAGCGCCTTTAAAACGCTGGACGTCATGCTGTGCGGAGTCGCAACCAAACCATCGAGCGCATCTTGCAGGTCATGGGCAGTCTCATTACACGCAATAGCCGTCTGCACAATACGTATCTCATCAGGGTCCCTCGACAGTCTCAAATTCTTCCGTTGGCGAAATGGCGCCGCCAGCTCCCGCAGGTTATCTAAAGATGCTCGGAGGTCGGCATGTTGGACGGGCGCGCCGTCAGTGGACGAGTAAATTTCGACGCCTTTACTGACCAGCTTGACTGAGAACTCGACAAACTGGAGGATATTACTGGCCAGGCCAACAGAGGATAGGGGATCCATGACTGCACCGGCTGGTGGTTGTCTTACTAGTGGAACTGGCCCTTCTGTTGGATAAAGTTCAAAGACTAACCTGTGGCCTAGTGAAGAACATCCGCGGGGGATATATTTGCAGGACTGGGAAATGCCTTGGCTGACTGGAAATCCCGCTTGTGACTTGAAAGTGCAAATGCAATCCCACCTTATTGCTTGCACTTGAGCATTTGACAAGGATAACGTCACCAATCAATGCTGTTGTGGCTTATGCATGGTGGGCTCTCTGAGGACTAAATCTTGACAACCGGGCAGAAGTGCATTTGAATGCAAAACTTTTCTTATTATTGGCTACTTATAGGCTGAACCCCGCGTGCGGCTGAGTAGACGACTGTGAAGCAGCGCCGTCACCTGGTTGTCAAATCATTTCCTTTTACCTCGATCCTTCAGCATGCAGCATAGAGCCTTTTTCTGTTTACACAAGAGTCCACGTCAGGGAAGCACAATCCCTCAAGAACCTCATTGAAACACAACAAGACGACTAGTCATTATGGATGAATGGGGTGGAGTGGCTGCAATCACGGCATTCCCATTTCAGCCACTTTTTCAGAGAATCAAGGACACCTTGCTAAGAATATTTTACTGGAACAGAACTTGCGAAGTTATACAGTGGAGTCGCATTGTACAGAGCCCTATTCAGACACGATGGTACGGCCTCGAGGTCGGAAACCAGTCAGCCGATACCCAAAGCCCCAAAAACAAATCGCTGATCCGCTTTCTGCACAATTTCTGGCAGGTAAAGCCAACGCCGACCGCGAGACCAGCTTGCTTTGAAATGTCAAAAGACTACCTCCAACTTGATTCTGATGTCCTTCTTGCCGATAGAGGTATTATCAAAAGAGATCAAGCTTAGGTAGAAGACAGATTCAGGGATTCTCAGTTCAATAAACATACACTAGTTAGGCTGCTGACTTTAGAGAGTATTATACATATAAAGGCTTGTGTCATCTTTGGCTAAAGTGGCGCATGGTAAAAAAAGACTATTATTCTAGATAATTGATTTCCATATTAATTTTTTATGCATTTTCTGTTATAAACTCTATCTACCGAGTATGGATATTAGCTATCATTGACTCGAAATTTCACCCCAGTACGTGCACCCTAGCCTCTAGGCTATCTGGTGCCTTCCTTGCCACTGTATACTTTGACGAACATCCGTCTTAGCCCATCCATATCACAAAACTCGATAACCTTTGTGACCTTTGAGCCATCCTCATTGAAGTCCAAAACCCACGAATGCTCTATGACGTCCTCTTCGCCATTCTTGTATTTCATGCCTGTCACAGTCGTTGCGGCTGATTTGCGTGCCTCGGTGTCGATAGTCAAGTCAGAGACGTCGCTGTAAGTGACTACGTATTTCTCGAGGTCGAGAGCCATGGCGGCTTCGTAGTCGGCGTTACTCAAGCCATCTTCCGGAGGCGATCCGAATAGCTGAAGAACACCAGCTGGCTTGAAGTATCTTTTGCAGGAGTCGGTGACATCACGGTTGATGATTGCTGGGTTGTTTTGTTCTCCAGCTTCTTTGTAGGCAGCCAGGAACTGTCTGGTTGTGTTTTCAATAGCGTCTCTGAGCTCTTGCTGTGATGTCATGCTCGCTGTGATATACCTTGATGTCTCATGCAGGTTTTAAATTTCTGTAAGGTTTGATCACAAGTACTCGGGTTTTACTCCGCAGTACACGTATTTATATGGATTACTTGCTTACAGTCAGCCAAGTCACAAGCCGTCAGCTGACGCAATCCTTGGGCGATGGGAATTGAGTAAGTTTGTTTAGAGCCAGAGTAAGCTTGGTGCTCTCTTGCGTCACCACGAGTATGGGATTGCTCGAGGAATGTACTGTCATTTAAGACTTTATTGAAGTTTAAATAGACGAACAAGATAACAAATTGGTCCGAAATTGGACTTGCCGCGGATCGTGTAGGGTATATCTATTTATAGAAACTGGTTATACGAATGTGACATGAAGCGGCGGAAAGATACTCCGAGTCACAGTGGGCAATTTCCAGTGCCGGAAGCGGCCGCCCGGTTGAAATAACCTTGCTTTGCAAAGCAGATATAAGGATAAAATAACCTCTGAAGAGCCCCATCTAAGCCCTATAAACTCGTCACCAAGGCCAACGGATTTAGAAGGTGGTTGCTGTGAAATTGGGTCGCTTCAGGCAGTGTTCACCAAAGATCAGGGCGGGCTGTGCTCATGACCCCACCTCTAAGGGCCAGCCTCCTTACCTTTTCCGTCGTAGATCGCTTCGATCAAGGAGAGCCCCGGCCCTTCGAAAGAAACTGTCACTTCTCCCTGCTCAACTCAACATCCCTCATGACTCACGCCATGTAAAGGAGACATCCCTGGAATGAAGGGCCAGTGCTTGTGTTATCATATACTAGGCCTTGCACGCCCGCTTATCACCACGTGGGGATCGTCCTTGGTAGCTGATCTCACGCCAGAATGTCAGACTTTGGTGCCAAGGTGAAATGGAAGAGGGCGAGGGCGCCCAAGGTGAGATCTGGCTGTAGAACATGGTAAGTAAAACAACCAGACACGTAAAATTCGGTACTAACCAAAGTAGCAAGTTCGTAGCATATCACTACTCTCAACTGAAACTTTGCTGATCGTAGTCCAGAATTCGGCACCTCAAATGCGATGAACGAAAACCCACGTGTTTCAGATGTGAAAAGGACAAACGGACGTGCGACGGCTACCTCAACCCCCCAGAAAGCAAGCCAAAGACAAAATCTCTCGCCCTCCATAGAAAACAGTATGATCTCATATCCCGTCGCCTCGCGACAGCCTCGAAGCTTCTTGTCCCAGCAGCTCTATCACCAGAGACATTCGGTTCGACGATTGAGTTGGACCTCTGCCACCACTTCCGAACATACACAGTATCAGAACTTGCGAGCTCACTCAACGCGATGAGCTTCTGGCACGCGTATGCGTTGCCACTCAGCCAGACTTCAAAACCGGTCAAGGCTGCGATTGGAGCGTTGGGAGGGGCGCACAAGGCTTTCAAGCTCCAGACCCAGACTGACCCATTAACGCAGTCCATTGCCCAATCTTACGAGATTGCATCTATCCAGCAATACAACAATGCAATTCGGGTGATGCAAGAGTACATGAACTCACCTGATAAAGACTTTCAGGTTATTCTAACTTGTTGCTTAATATTTATCTGCACCGAGAGTCTCTACGGGCGTTACAAGAACGTTACGCGGCATTTAGAAGCCGCCTTCTCCCTGTTGAACTCCTGTGATCGATGGGACCTGGCCAAGTTTATGGAAAACATTGGCCCTTCATTATGCGGTCTGGCATCTGATCTATTCTTCTACGTGGGAGACAATCATTCCTCGAAGCTTGTCTCGGAGATTACAGAATGGGCTGATAAACAGGACCCGATTGACCTAGAAGAACCCGGCGAGCCCTTCACTTCTGCACAAGCTGCAGCTGCAGCACTGACACGGGTCGAGACACTTTGCGATGTGGAGATGTACGCCGATTGCCCAAACTGTTCGGACGATGGGGTTCTGTGCGGTGAGGGTGGGGTTTCATGTGAGAGACGAGATAGAGGTCTGGTCTCGGAAGCCTTCTACCATCATTGGAGCGCACGATATCAAGCTTTCAAGAAGACATTCGATCCGTCCAAGGCCTCAGAGTCAGAGCTGTTTCGATTCAAAGTACTTGAGTGCGAAGAGACTACATGGCAGGCCACTTTCAAGCTCAACCACATCGACGACGACCTGGAAACAGCCGATTGCATCGAGATATTGAAGAAAGCAGAAGATATCATAAAGATGACGCAAAACGATAAAGGTCAGATCTTCACATTTCAGGCCAATCTCGTCCCTCCAATATCCTACGTTATAATATCATGCCAGGACACAAGTGTGCAATGGGAGGCGGTGAGGCTTCTGCGGTGTCTTGGGAGACGGGAGGGCGTTTGGGATAGCAGGAAAATGGCGGATATTTACACGAATATGATCAACGCAAAGACGAAGCAGCTGCTCACGTGGGAGGAGATTCCGGCTGACGTGCCACAGCTGACTGAACTTCTTGGTTCGCTTGAGATGTGAGGACATACAGACGGCAACAGATAGAGTCGAAATGATATTAGACTTGTTCACCAGATCATCACATACCCTTACCACCTTTCCAAGTTACCTCAATCCTGCAATTATAAGTCGAGTGTTCGACAGTGTCTTTCAGACAGCGCAAGAGAAGAGACCCGACTTGCCTGACTTATCGAAGGGAAAGGAGTGCAAAGGCCCAGGTCACCATAGGCTAGCACAGCTGTTACATAATTATTACATGATGATGACTGGCAAAATTGAACAAGTATGACAATTGAAATCTATCAAATATTACAAATGAACTCCCGCTATCACATGAGAGCAAACAAAGCAGCCGCCCCGACACCAGCCGATACAAACCAGCTTGGACCAAGCCTGGCTCCAGCAGCGTTGTCTGCCGCTTCCGCGGTCGCATTTCCTCCAATGATGTACTCGGGCTCATAGCTCTTGACAGCAGTGTTGTTAGACTTTCCATCCCAGCAATAGCGATCGAAGCAGGTCTTGCATGCGTCAGGAACAGCCTCATTCGCCTTCCACCAGCTTCTGCTCATGACAGCACATGCCACGCAAGTAGGCCACTCCTTGTCAATGGTAGCGTTACCCTGAGTAGCTCCATTGAGAGCATTGAGAATGATGTTGTCGCGTTCGGTAGTGGTATACGACATGTCGAAGGTGGAGACGTTACTGTGGTAGGTGTAGGGAGCGTTGGGGATGTAGAAGATCAGCGGAGGGGGAACTTCGCCGTCTGAAAGAGTGAAGTTGTTCGCGTCACAGCCAAAGAGCGTAGGGCGTTGGTTCAACTTCTCGTTGATAAAGGTCTCAGCTGATGGGACTGAGGGAAATAGTGTGCCGTTGCCAATGCTGGAACCAACACGGTCATATGTAGCACGAAGAGCAGTACCATTGGGCCAGTTGTTGTCCGTATCAGCAGACGAATCAATGGCAAAAATGATGTCAACGCCACGAACGGGCTGGATCAATGGGTGAAGAGGAATGTTCTGCAGATCCTCTCCACCATCGACAAGAGTCAACTGGCGGTCCTTGGAATTGACGCTCTTATCGGTAGGGTTCCATCCGAAGAAGGGGTTGGGTGCATACTGGGCGATATCCTCATCATCCTCGTCCAAGCCAACCAAGACGCCCTCAATGGCTTTGACAACAATGTCGGGAATATCATTCTCTTTGCCGACCTTGGTGATGTTGTTGAGAAGGAACTGGTTGAATAGTGAAGAGGATGTTCCCATAACAAAGCCGATCTGATCAAAGCCACGAACGCATTCACCCTTGGAGCTGATGCTGCCGTTGGTGAAGTTGGAAGCGAGATACTCAGTGGGTACGAAGCCAAAGGTTGTAGGATCCCATGTACCAAACTCGTATGGGTTGAACTCATATACAGTGGCGTTCAGGGAGATGACGCGCTCACCTGGAGCACGGCCATCAGCAACGAGGATGGGAAAGGGCGTGTCTGCGTCCTTGAAGTTGGAGGTATCGGCAATGGAAGAGAAAGTGTATGAAGGTCCACCCTCAGGCGCATTGACGAGCTGATACGACAATGCGCGGCCCCACCAATCAGTGAGAGTAGTATTCCAGCCCTTGTCCTTGTCGTCAACGGCATCTTTCATCTCATCCCAGTACTCGGCAGTGTTGAGAAGACTGATCCCAGAGCTCTTGGGGCCCTTGAAGATGGAGCGATCAAATCGCCAGACTTTGTCACCAGACTGTAAGTCTGGCACTGTTGAGAAGTTGTTGGCGAAAATAGATCCCACGAGCCAGCCACCGCCAGAAAGGCCAGCCAGATATGTTGCCGACTGGAGAAGGCCGCTGATGGGGCCGGTCTTGTTGTTGCGTGAATCAGCAGCTGAGAGAAATCCTGCACCGTTCATCAAAGCGCGATAACCACCGCCGGACGCGGCGATGGCGATGTTGGGTAGACCAGTCGCATTGTTTTTATGCTTCTCAACGAAGCTCTCGGCATCGAAGCCGGAAATGTTGGCTCGCGACAAGAATGTCTTTAGGTCATCGATTGTGTTGTTTCTGCGACGACGAACCCAGGATTCTTCCTCGCTAGACAGTCCATCGGCAAGACGAGCTTTTGGACGTGTTGAAGGGCAATCAACTACTTTCGGAGCATATCCGCCACTCGGAGAATTTGGTAGGGCTCGGATCTCGACTGAATTGTCCCTGGGGATCAAAGCCGTGTCTTCCGGAGCGGCAATGGCTGTGCTGAGCCAGAGCGTCAAGGCCACAAAACCGAGCATCCTGACTATCCAAAACAAAAAACAGCTGTCGAAGAAATAAAGATGAAATATAAAGTGACAAAAGAAGATGGGAATGCAAAGTGGAGGATTACAAAGTGCGAGGCCAGATAAATAAGCTGAGTAGGCCCTTCGGCCAAGGGGCGCAATTTACGGAGTAACCAACGGGTATGATCTCACTGGGTCTAAGCACATGCTAGAGTTTTACGGTGATTAATGGCTTTGACTGGTTGCAGGGAGTGACGCGGCATGAGTGGCTAGTTCGTTCCGTGGGCAGCGAGGATAAAAAAGGTTGGGATCCACCGACGGCTTCTTCGGCCGAGAGAGTTTCGGTTTTTTGGGACCTCGTTGTGGAGGCTGTGTCTCAGCTCGGAACATTCGGCACAAGCTAAGCCACAGAGAGAAATGACGTTGCCATGCCAGCTCATCCAGAGAGGGGAGAACGAAAGACAATGGCCACAGGGCTGATGGAGACAGGGAAGAGGTGAGGGGGCTGTACTTTGCTTCTGAGCAGGACCGAGAAATGGGAGGCGGTGACTGGTTCACATGGAGATCTTCTCCGAATGATGATCTGTTGAAGGAGAATGGGACTTTGGTCCCCCCCGCATCAGAGTGGAGAGGGGATTCCCAGACGCGGATATAAACGATGCGTGAATACGCGGGAAACATCATGATAGGCTCCGACATTGGAGACGCTGACAGTGGGTCATTCGTACCCAATTCAGCTTGTCTTACCCTACAAACACGGAAATTCCCATCTTTAACAAGCTCGCGAACGTTGGAGCATGCAGAGCAAGGCTGACATAATATGGCGACAGCTGACGGTGTCAATTGAGCAGAAAGAAAAACTAAATACATAAGCAAGAAATTCGAATAGCACGATATGAAGACTAAGGGAACTTTCCGGTCGCGGCTGGTCCCGTCATTGAGCAAGTTCAGTCTTCCGTCCGTTGGCGCGCCTTTCCAACATTGGACGAGGAATTCTATCAAGGTCAGAATTGAAGGAATTTGTTGACGTTAAAGCAAGTTACCAAGCTTAACTGTCAAGGAGAGTATTAGCATCGACATATTAAAAGGGCGCTTAATAACACATCTCGGCAATAAAACAAATATTTAGGAGGCATTGCATTAGGTGTTGGCCTTATCTAGATAGCGAACATTATTTATCAATTACTGAGATTTCCTACCCCTGGCCAATATTAAAGATGTATTAATAATTATCTAAGTCTATTGCCTGAGATCTTTAAACTTGATCCCTTTTTTCAAAAAACTGCTGTTGTAAAAAGGAGGAAGCCATAATCTGTAGTGGCATTTAGGATACAACCCTTCGTGTTTACTAATGGTAAGGGAAGTCGATATGTCTTATAACTTTATTAACAACTTATTATAGTTACTGATCTAAGACTGCAGCATATTATTAAGGGACTGGAAAATAAAAGTTTCAGATTAGGACTAAAGGGGCGGGATAATAAATGTAAACTAGGACCCTTAGACAAGCAAAAAAAGGGAGCAGGGCATGGCGGGGGTCTCACCACAGAGCGGCACGGCTCTACATCGGCCTCAATATAATCGATATTCAAGCACCACAGGGCAGATTCGCATATCTTTTTGTTCTTCAACCCAACTACAAATACTCTCTAGATCCAAGCATAAGAGTTTCTCTAATTCCCATCTTCATCAATCTTCAGCATTGTCAACCCTATCAAGATCCCAAATCGATCGTCCCACAACATTAAAAATGAAGGCCTCGGTTATTCTCTCGACTCTTTATCCTGCGATTGCGGCTGCCTTAGCAGCTGTATGCGAAAAGGATGCAGGACCATGCATCATGGCCAACGATTGCTGCGAAGGCTATACTTGCAAAAGTACACCTGGCGCAGGCTCTAAATGCGTCGCCGACAAGGCGTGTGTTGCAACAGGGATGCTCTGCCATGTCCAGACCGCGAAGTGCTGTGGCGATTTTGCGTGCACTAGAATTTTTGGCCAAGTGGGAGTTTGCGTAAGTTATATCAAAATGCTTTTATTCAGATGTTGCGGTACTGACTTGATGTAGATGAAACCCGTGGACATCAAGCCTACTTTGCCCTAATCTTTCGATTCAGTGGTTTAAATTGTTATACCCTTGTTTCCGAAAGTTATATATGGAGTTTATATCTCATGGGATTGATGGAATAAGTCCTTAAAATGTAACAGCTATTAAACAGGTGTTCATTGCTTTCTGATTTTCTATGGCGGTATGTAAGTTACTCGTGGCAGTTTTTGGGCCAGGACTCCTTTGTCTAGGAAGGGATTTATTACAGCACGTGTTGGATATGTTATTGCTTCAAACCTATAGACTATCATTATATTCATGCCAAAAGTTTTGCAATGTTCATCTCGCGAAGCCGTAGTAAGATAATCTTTCTCACTCTATCTGTTTTCCTGGCTTAATACGCCGTTCAGCTCTACGGCTAAAGAGGTCGACCTTGCAGCCCACCTCTTTTTCCTTCCCTTCATCGTTATCAACAGAACTTGCCAAATATACCCATGCCATATACTGGCATGATTCGCTATTCTTCATCTTTACAAGCCAGCGTCTTACAAATTTATCTTTCAGCTTTACCAAAAACCAATATCTCACTAAAGATATACTCAGTTCAAGGGCAATATCCACAAGCACGTCAGCACTTTCATCACCACAGGTTGTGATGACAATCTCACCATATCTGCCTTCACCTGTTAATTATATGCCAAGAATGATATGCACTGTGAATAACTTGACGTTCTGTACGGAATAATGTTAACCACATCAACCAGCAGAAAGGAACCTCCAATGGGGACAGGATACATGGCGAAATAACTCAGCTCAAGACAGCACTGATTTCCCCCGCCATTCATTTTCTTCCCCTGGATTATTTTATGCTTGCTGTATCCCTTTATTCCTTCTTCATAATCCTTTCACTTGCGCTTCTCTAGGGTTGTCACTCAACATAAAAACCTCGCATGCCACTTCTCCTGGTTATGGCATGGTAGTCCTGGCATGACATGTTTTCACAGCTCCTCGAAGCCAACGGGGGGCGGTATCGCGGGTGGGAGACTGTCAGAGATTCTGATAATCTCATGCGTCAGAAGTTGCCATCAAATTCTTCGGCTGAGCCTGTCAACGTGCGAGGCTTCTTTGGACCCAACTGCGTCGGTCACGCGATCAGATTTATGCCGAAGCCATTCGGCCGCCGCGTCTTTGCTGCCGAATTGGCCAAAATCCGTTTGGAGACCACCACAACCAGTTCACCTGCACCTTCCACTGAATCGTGTATTCTTTCTCGCCCATCAAGGTGAATGGGTCGTTCTTCACTCTTACCAACAGGACAATAGCATCTCTGCTTATGATTGCAAAGCCGAGCCGTGTATGCACCGAGCTGAGGAGATGTGCCCCCGCATCTGCTTCTGGCTGGGACACCGGGACCACAAGGGTGCAGCTGGTGTCTAGTCCTGCGATTACAATCAGATGAATTTGTCTACCAGATAGGATGGTGGACCGGTCGTGGGCCTGGACATGGCTGATCGAGCCATATGTTTATGAAGTCTACGAAGATAATAGTTCGGATACCGACTAACTCGTACTTGTAAATCATGGGGGGTTTTAAAGCCCGATTTTCCTTGCCTGTAAAGCTAAACGGCGATGATGTAAGGGGGGAGACAAATCAGACTAGATCAAATTGTGCAGGGCGGATACCTTAGATTGAGCGCTGGTAGTTAATAAACTTCATTCACACGCAAATCATAGGGGCTTATCGGACGGACTTTAGTGGAAGTTTATATTATTAACCAAATCAGGGGCTGCAAACTCAATGCAGAATAATTAGTAGTAGCCGGGTCACCTGGCTCCATATTGTCACGAAATTAACAGCCAGGTAATTGCATAAATTATTCTATGTCTTTGATCAATTTTGTACAGTAAAGACAGTATATACAAGGGTTGCGATCTCCAAGGAGTCGCGAGGCTACACCGAAGGAGTCATCCTTTCCTGCGCGAGAGTACAGTCCCCAGATAATGATTCACTCCACTATGGCGTCAAAGCAGCCTAGTTGGAGGCAGGGCAGTCGAGGCAGCGTGCATCATACCAAGCGAAGCCGCTGCCAGCATCAGCAGGGTTGATCGTTGTAGCATCATACTTGAAGAAGTAGCAGATGCCGTTGACACTGTCGTAAGCGACAGTCTTGCAGTCAGGCTTGGTGGTACCGCAAGCAGCGACGCAGTTCTTGAGGTCAAGCTTGTTGTTGTGAACGCTGTCGTAGCTGGTAGCAGCCGAGTTCTGACGCCAGCCCTTGCGACCGCAGATAGCACCACCAGCAGAAGCGGCAAAGCCACAGCCGGCGTCGTAGAACTTGTAGCCAGTGGCCTGGGACTTGACGTTGATGGTCTTGAGGTCATACTTGGAGAAGTAGCAGATGCCGTTGACATCGTCGTAGGTGACAGACTTGCAGTCGGGCTTGGTGGTGCCACAAGCCTTGATGCAGCCGTCGAGGGTGAGCTGGAAGTTGTGGACGCTGTCATAGCTCTTAGCGTCCGGGTTCTGGCGGTAGCCGGTCAGACCGCAGAGGGACTTTGAGGGGATGTTGACCAGGCTGCACTGGTCCAGGCTGCGACAGGGCAGCTTGTTGTTGGGAGCAGCAGCAACGCTGACAGCTGACAGAGCAGCGGTGATGAAGGCAGAGTAGTGCATCTTGTTGATTGATTTGGGGAGTTGAAGAATGATTTCTTGAAGTTGCTTGCTTGAAGTTGCTTGATCTGTTGAGGAGATGAGACTGGAAGCGGCGATCCTTTCTCTTTCTTATAGGTTCTGGCGAGGGGTGAATAAGATCTTCTCTTCATCAAAGTCTGCTTTGTTGAGTTCTAGATGCGCATCCTGATGACTTACAGCAGAAGCTAAGGCGTACGTGCAAGGCAAAAATGGAAAGGTTCGCCTTACATCATGACAGCTGAAAGTCCACAACTGAACTATTAAAGAGGTTATTGAAACTTGGCAGTCGGGATCTGTTAATGGAGGAATAAATCGGCCTTCTTGTCCTCGGACCCTCGCCAGATGTCCAGCCTACTCGCGGAATCGCTACCGGTCAAAATTCCGTGTAGGTCAATTGAGCGGAACGTTGATACCGTACCCACCACCTGTCCTTCCAGTCGGGCTCTTCTAACATATATCATTGGCTGAAAGGCATAGACTAAACTTGTTCGCAGACGCTATCAACGCCACGAAACAAAGGCTATATCATTTCCGCGTTTAGTTCCGCAATCACAGATCATCCAGTCACACAAATTTCCATTGTGAGTAAAGTCGCAAATTTCAGCCTTTTGAGAGTAGTTGCTAAACCATTTCAGTATCGACGGAGTCGATGTGGCGGCGTGAAGGAAGAAATAAGTCGTATCAGGCAGAATCCCCTTTAGATACTCCATAGTTACAATCTGTGCCCATCGGCCACCAGTGAAGTTACTGGGTCCAAACGGTGCCGGGTTTAGTCGGTCCGAAGGCATCTTGGGTTTCATTATGTACCTCAGGCCTCCTTTCCTCATTCACGCATAAGCCACAAACTCGAGCCCGGTTGAAAGCAATAACATTTTGCTCAGAATTGCAATAACCCACTAGACATCGAGACAACCGCCTGGTGGATGGAGTGGGCTGGCTGGAGGTTGTCGTCCCAGAGAACTGTAGCTTTGTGGGATCTTAAGCCAGTATGCCAAGCTAGAGACTAACGAATGCATCCAAGTCCTTGAGGACGAAGGATTAAATGGAGGATTATCGCTTAGCCAGGCGATAGCTTTCATGATGCAGAGATTTTGAGGGCCACCCGGATGGCCGACGCTTACAACCACCTTCGTAAGTGTATCAGACTTATAATTGGTAAATTAACAGCGGAGACTGATAAAGAAACCCCCAGCCCTATAAGGCATCTCGTCAAAGTGCCCCACGCTGAGGTGTCTAATGATAATGCTTATCTTTTTAAGTCGACTTCTTTCGCCCAGTAGACTGTGATTGGCTTTGAGGGGATACGCAACTATCGAAACGTTGGCCCACATCGCACCTCTTGGCGAAAACTGAAGACGGGGGCTATGGCTTTATAACCACTAAATCCAATAGTGTTCCTTAGCTCTAAATGTGTTGTTCTCCTGAAGATGAAGAGACAGGTTTAATAATAAGTCATGGGAGTATGGATTTCGAGGAATTGCCTGCGTCTTTGTTGTTTCTGCATCTGACCCCATTCACTCGTTTTTTGTTTGTTGGCTATGATTGCTGCAAAGGTTCTCACCGCAGTGGCGGCTTTGGTTCTTCAGCCCGCGTTAGCTGGACCTTGTCGCCCGATCTCACGGTCAACGACGGCGTCTGCTGAGTCTTCGACTTTGCTCACATCCACATCCACGTTCACTTCACTCCCTTCCACTACCGGCCTTACGTCTATTTCCATTGTGTCCCTTTCGTCCTCCCGCACTTTGGCTTGGGAAAGCACCACTACAGATGCCTCTGAAAGTGAGACAGTGACGAAGGAAACTTCGGTCACCGAGACCTCGTCTGAGTCAGCTGCTAGTGCGTCGTTAGTCACTACAGAAGATTCTTCGAGTATTATCTCTTCTGCTACAACTACATCTGGGCTTTACACTACTGAGTCTCAGACATCGCAAGCCTTGACGGTTGGTTTAACCACCACCGAGGACATTTCTACTACAACGGAGACCTCTTCAACCACCGTCACCTCCATCACTACAACCAACCGATCCTCCTCATCAGAGGCTTCTGATACTCAGACTGCCAGTACCGAGCCTCATACTACATGGACTGATACTGCCACCATCACTACAACCGCCCAATCCTCATTATCAGAGGCATCTGATACTCAGACTGCCAGTACTGAGTCTCATACTACATGGACCGATAGTGCGACTACTACAGACGTGTCTTCGACTGCTGAAACCTCCTCGACTGTAGTTGAGGTATCAACTACAGCTGAGTCAACGACAACTTATGCTAGCGCTTCTGCCACCTCGACCCTCGAAGCGTTTACAATCACCTCTAGCTTCACAACCTTGACTACGGCTGCTACTACCACTATCATGACATCTACATACACCACAACAACTGAGGCTGCATCTACAACAAGTGAGGAGTGCCAGATTTACCCTTATATGCTGATTTAAAAACATACCTCTTGTATAAATTATATTCTTCTTTTTATGTAGTAGTCAATGACTATTTGCTTTTATAAGTAATGTATATATAAGTTGATATATATTTACCCTTTTAATTATTCCTGTGCGTAAACTCATATACTTAACTCCATAACTCAGCATCAACTCGAATACTATAGCTCTTCACCGTCTGCTTTACTAGAGTAATCTGAATACCCCAGCCAGGAACCTTATACACGCTCACTCCACTCTGTGACAACGTTCCGTCGTTTTTGTCGTAGACATTGCCGGCACCACAGCCACCTGATTCTGGGATCACATCTATAACACGGATAGGGCCGTAGCCAGTCTTTACCGACGCATCAACAGTGTAGAGCAAGACGCCAGGAGCGCAAATCTCCGAGTCAAGACCCTCGGGTATACGGGCCTCTGCAACAAGAGCGGAGGTATGGTTGACGGCGACTACAACCGCTTTGACGCCATTGTCAGAAATGTCCAATTCTAGTGGGCTCAGCGTGTGCTGAGTAGTTCCTCTCTCTGAAACACAATCGACAGATTTGTCGTTAATCCAACCTAGGCGCCATTTGTCCCAGGCGAAGAAATCAGGGGCAATGCCGGAGAGATCTCCCATGGCACTCCAGCCACCAACGTAGTAGCCCAGGCCAAGATCCTCGAACGGGTATAGATCGGCCAAGCACATAGTATGTCCGGTTTCGTGAGCCAAAACTTTCCAGCTCTTTGTTCCCCAACCTGTAAATGCGTCGGTTCCAACCGTAACAGTCTTCCGAGCAACATAATCGCCTTGTCTAGTGTTGGCTCGCGAAACAAACGTGATGGACCGAGAGATCCCTCTGCTGCCCACGCTCTTTACGGGAACAACATAGAGGACATCTGATTCGGGCGGGGGAGGGCGAGTCCCGTTAGTCGTGTAGGCGTCGAGTGCATCTTGGATGTATTCTTGATGTTCTGGACCTGTGAGACCTCGCTCCCAGCTATATGATGCAGCAGGTTTGGGCATGCGGTAGAACTTGGACATATCGGCCGAAACATTCAGTGATAGAGCCCCGTAAGAGGCTTGGCTGTACCATTCGGTTGTTTGGGGGACTATAGCATCATAGAGCGAATGGGGAGTCTCGTCTTGAGCAGGTTCGGCATCGGAAAAGTCAACAAAGATCATGAAACCTTTGAGAGTTCCGGTGCTTGGGGCACAGTCCCCATTGTAGTCAAAGCCAACACTCATCTCCACGGTGTTGTTGGCTGCCAGCTTGCAAGCGGCCTTTGACTTAGGGGGCGTTGGCTTACAAGCAGCAGCGCTGGCTACTGCAGGCCACAGAAGAGAAAAGAACAGAAAGTTCATGATGATGGATCTTTATTTGAAGCAGAATGAGATGTGGTGAGTGATGGGAGAGCAATTTTTTAACGTACATTGGGACATATTTTATGCTTTACTTTCTGCCAACTCACGAGGCCCATCGTGCACAGCCGGCTTGATATTTTGCCAGCATTGCCAATGACTCGAGATTGGCCGACTGCAAAGTGTCAATTGAATTGCCAGCGCGTTTCAGCTTCGGTAGCCACTGTCAGCGTACTTGGGTGCTCACGTCAGCGGGTCAGTCGCTTTCGCCGATGTCGACGTCTCTGACTGGTCAGTATGGGGCCTCGCACAGGGTCTAGACTCGCAGTCATTAATTTCCAGGATAGCAAGATTGCGCTTCCATGCATCTCTTCAGAGCTATTCAAGCATAGCCACTTCAGCTCAAGTCTCCTTATGACGCTTAGTGAAGCTCACCGAAGCTCTACAGTGCCCTTATCGATGTCAGCCTTCGGCTAGATGGCGTGACTTCACTTGGGTTGATTGGTCCGCAACTGAAGGTTTCTGTCACACTATCATGAAATGAGCAGTAAGTAGCTACTGATGATTGATGTCAGAACTACCAAAAGGCTGAAAATGACATCAGCCGCCATAAATTCGCCGCCTTGAGGAAACGGCGGTGAGGGTATTGTCGAGGATGCCTCCGGAACCATGAGCCTGCGGCCCTTCTCAGTGAGGGTGAAGGAGACGGATTATACCCGAATGCCAGTTGGCTACAGAAGCTAGAACTTCAATGATAAAAGGCTATAGTATCCTGTCGTTATGTCTGTTATGATTACCATTATCGACACTTCAACAACAAACATATCTCTCAAACAACCCATCAATCTTTGGTTCTTTTAACCTTACTTAATCCCTGCCTCAACCTCGAGCATTTTCACCACCATCCCTAAACTATCTACAATGCGCTGCAACTATTTTCTTCTCGGCCTTGTCGCCACAGCTCTGGCACACCCTACCGTGAAGCCCGCTGATACTGGCAAGCGGGTTCCTACTTTGTACGAAGGAAAGGGAGCCAATTTTGACTACCGGCCCAAGGAAAATGAAAAGAGGAAAGATGATGGGTCCTGGCAACCCGGGAAGTATGAAGGAGACTGCACTGGTTATGATGATGGAAAGTGGAACCCAGAGAAGCAAGGTTAGAAGACTACCTACTGAGGAGAATAAAGATTGCAAGTGGGCACATGGAAAGTATAAGGATAAGAGGACTGGCGTTATTAATTAGAAGTAAAAGGGTAGCTAAATAGTTTTATATTTAATTCGAAATTTATATTAATTAATAGATTTATATTAACTTTGAGTATAATTATAATCTTATAGTAATACTAATTAAACTTTATATTAAAAGTAAATAGTTTATATACTTAATTAATAAGCTCAGGCTGAAATTGAGGCAGCTAACTTAATGATGTTGACTTAATGAAGCTTTGCCGCCTGCAAGGCAAGTAACGTTTAAATTACGGTAGACTTTAGAGATGCTTGGATACCTTTTGAGGCTGATATACAAACTTAAAAAAAAAATTTTAATTAATAGATTATTTATATTTAATATATACTAAAATATAAAACTATATATATATCTATATTTAAGAATTGCTTAAAATAATAATTAATTTTTAGTAAAAGGAATATCTATTGCTAGAGCTTCTTCATTCTGTAAACCTCTTTTGCCATTCTTTTTACTTGTAATCCCAAATGTTGCGCCATAGGCCACATCTCAGCGTACTTAACCAGGGCCCCAATATTCTGGCCCATATTTTGACGAAGATCCTCGTCATCTTGGGCCACAAAGGCTAGTGACCATCTACTGAGGTGGATTGTAGACGAGAGTGTCACCATGTAAATAAAGAAATGAGTATGTTTGAGAAGAGGAACACGATAGCTGATCAACTTGCTAAGCTCCCTCGCAGCGCGAATTGTATGTTTGGTATGCGAATTGAAAGTATCGCTGGATACAGCTGGCGTGCTGGATACGGAGGGCTTGATATAATAAGTCAACGATGGATCTAGTTGTGAGTGAGGCTGATGTAGCAGAATTGAAATGGCCTGCCACATCATGATGGCCTGGAACATCATCTCATCTAAATCGCCATTGCAATAAGCGTCGTATTTTGAAGGAGGTAAGCGGAGCATCCAGTTAGCAAGCAGCCTGGCGACATGGTCGACCTCTGATGGCATTGTTTGAAGCGCACCCAAGATGCAGGCACATTGGATCCGATAGGCGTACGACGAAAGCGGCCTTGTATCAAACAGTCCCAAGGTTTCCGTATCGCGTGGGTGAATAGGGGCAGGTATTTGCTAGATCTTGTAAACATATAGTGCTTACCGGGCTTTATAACGAGACTTACTCCAGTGAGATATTGAGACTCTTCACAAGGCAGACCAACATCCGTAGGTAAATCATACAGAACAAAGGTGTTGGTCTGATGTACGCCTGACATAAGAGCATCCACAACGTAAAGCTCCCACCACGTTCTTCGCCAGCTCTCCTCAAGTATCGGAATTCCTTGTCCGTTGGTGACAGCAAACGGATCAGTGTTTACTTTAATCTGAATCGAGATATCCCGGGCATCTGCCATGAGCTGTCTGGCCTTTTTTTCTTGACGATTGCCGTCAAGTCCAATGATGACAAGCAACATCGCCTGCACTAAGAAGCCGTTTCTGAGAGGTGCACTGTCTATTTCATGGGACGCATCTGTGAGGAGGCTGTGAGAGCTGTCTCGGTCGATGAATAAAGAACCAATCCAACGTATCGCTGCAAAGAGGGGCTCTAGGGAGATCTTCTGTGCTAAGATGAGAAGAATCTCCTTTGGTGGTATAAAGGGATGAGCGGTATAGAAGTTCTCATAGAAGGAGTCGATGTAACGTTCTCTTAGAGGAAGTGCCCGAGATACTGTGCTGCCAGTGCCACCAAACAGAGTCTGAGAAGAAGAGCCAGGCAAACTAGTTGACGCAATGGTTTGAGAGTACGTAGTAATTTGGAGGCTTGGGTCAATGTTCGAGTGATTTGTGGCGCTGCCAAAAACGATGGTAGGATCAAACGCAGAAGGGAATTCCATCACTGTCACCGGGGGTGTAGGACCGACTAACGTGACTGTGAGGTCATCAGCAGGGAAAATAGTCTCGGCTGCTGTACTGTGATTTGGGGGCTGAGAAGCTGTGCGTTTTCGAGCGTTATGTCCGCGACGGGAGGCTGTATAGACGCAATCGATATCAGCAGTTCTACAGCGAGAACAAGGGCGTTGTCCATCGCATTTAAGGTGTCTCCTACGCTGCGCGGAAGACCAATGTTAGCATGGAGTTCTTCTTGAGCATCATCGTCAAGACGATGCCATGGAATTACTAGGAGAAATAGGCGGTGTAGGGATGTTATGCAGAACTCACGCAAGCAAGACACGCAGCCGGAACCAAAGGAAGGCTACGTCGAGTATCAGCAACCACCTGATGCTCCATTGATGGCAACTTAGTAGGCACAGGGCTCAAAGCGCCAGTCGACAATGGAGGCTTCAGAGCCTGGGCCGTGAACCAGCTTAATTGGCTCAAGGAGACGGTGGAGAGGTATCCTGGGTTTACTTCAACCAGGCGGAGAGGTTATATAAATGGCGTATGCAATATTTATATTACGCGAGTTTCTCTTATTTATGAGTAAGGAAGTTAAGAACAAACTGCAATCATCATTTTATAGGGATATTAGAAGACGTTAAGAAATTTACTGATTACTGCGCCTCCGCCTTTTTATCTTTCAGCTTTCAGCCTTAAACCGTTAATTATTATTAGCTAAGACCTAGCACGGAATTTCTCGCATTTTGACAGTAACCTAGCACTATACCTAAAGTAGAACTCAATCTCACAAAAATTCATTTTCGAGAGATTAATTGCGTTATCGCTATACAGGTTTCTATGCCAACGACGTGGCAGATAAGAGATTCAGCAGCTGACATCAACAAACTGGCCAATGCTACCATTTAAAGAAGACTCCACGTCAAACGTCTTGGTGTCCATCTGTGATATGGTCTTGAAGGGAATGTCATCTTCTGTGATGGAAGTGTCTAACGTGTTATCATTTCGATATCGACGTAGTCGCTTTCGGAGACAGATGTGAGGATTGGCTCAACTGCAGGAGCAGGGCTCTGAATCTTCCTGAAGTCCTACTCAGGTTCAGCTTGAGCGACAGCCGTATGAACGGGAACCTCTTAGGTGTTGCCGCTCGTGCAGACGTTCACGGTGCTGAGAGCTTGTTCAACGAGTTTCTGTGTAGATTCACTTTCGCCAGTGGAATCAGAAAAGGTGTTTAATCGGTTCCAATACACCTAAGATAGTAACAGTTTCGACACTCGGAGTGCAACTGGATAATCTGAATGAAACTCATTATGTAAGCGCCTCTCGGAACCCTCTGTCCAGTGGGCAGAGAGAAAAACACAGGGACAACATAGGGGCTAGATGTCAGACTGCTCGTGTCTATAGTATCCCATATAGCGCTTGACTTGGGTAGCTGCGTGGAGCTAATACTCGTTACCGTAGACAGCCTCGCCGCCAGCGACAGCCAGGTAAGGACTGACAAGCAATTTCGTGCTGTCTTCCCAGGAGAGTAGCCAGTTAATTCCTTTACAAAACACGCTTCGATCTTAATATTGGCCGCAAGTAGGGAGTACTAATAGTCTGATGTCAGAGTCTTCTGACCACTACTTGCAGTGAATCATTCCCGTGTCGGCAGAGTTATTAGTGTCACGAAAGGTAGGTGCACCTAACAGCCAGCCACAGCATTTACAAATATCCATCTACGATAATCAATCAATATCAGCTAAGCCTCAACGTACCGATAGTAGACACCCGGCATACGCGACGTGCTCCTGTTGTGTGGATTACTGTCGTGGCTGCATGAGGTTGGCGATATCTGGTTCTATTGTACTTAGTTAACTAATAGTTCAATTGCCAAGGCAAGCCACAACCAATTCGTCCGCGGTGTGGCCTCAAACGGATTAGGGCTGGCCGAGACATACATAGGCCCAGGCCACTAGTTCAATAGCGCCCCGATTACTTGTGGCTAGTTGTGCAGCTCAGCTAGCCTCCTTGTTCCAGGAGGGGACATGGCATCTAAAAGCGGAGGAGTCAAGGGAGGATCCGGTCAGCGGTTGGCCTATTACAGAATATGAAGTTGTGCGTTGAACTTGCCTACAACGTCTTCATTGGTGGCGAATGCATGAAAGCAAGCCCATAGACATGCGTGAGTGCTCATTAGCGTATTTCGATCCACAATAGCTCAGGAATTCAAGACACTATTGATCGGCGATTACAGGCCACCACGAATCTAGAGCTTCTTTTCAGCTCCGCCTGCGAGACACGATGTTGTAACGAGAGCTAGGACTAGTTCTCAATCATAGGCAATTCGAGTATTTAGAGTACAGCACCCTCCACGAATTCCATAATTTTCATCACTACTACCGGCCTCTCAATCACCAGCTTATCATAAACTCTTACATCCAAGAGCATCATCCTGACTTTCTAAATCATGTCTTTCCCTACCAAAGGAGATGTTCTCTCTGTGCCCTTCTACACCGAAGAGGCTGAGCAGAACGCTGTAGAGATCTCATGGTCCCAGCAATTCCGTACTCGCACCGCTCGTTACTACCTCGTCAACGCCCGAAACCAATCCAAGGGCAATGCGAATGTTTTGATGTACATCCAAGAACGTTACTACAGAGATCCCAACAGCAATGAATACATTGGAAAGCTTCCTGGCGGCCGACAGGAGGGCAGTAAGTAACCAAAGATCAGTAGCCGAATAATCACTAATATCTACTCCAGACTCCTGGATTGTGAGCATTAGCGATCGCTTCCAGTATGGTGAGAAGAACAGGAATGGAGATGGCCGCTGGGTTGCTCTCCACGACAAGGACAACAAGCCTTACCAGGTATGTGCACCATGGATAATCTTTGCATGACTCCTGCTGACTTTCGAAAGCACCGGTTTATGATTGTCACTATTCAAGGCCAGCTCTCAGAGCAAGCGAAGAACTTAGCTAGATCTTTTGGTGCTGGGGAGATTGCTGAGCAGGTCCAGAAGCTGGGTGGCTCCTACATGGGTGACTACCTTCGCACCTTCTAATATCCCGGTGCTGAAGGGCATCAAGTCTTGAACTTATGAGAGGCTTAGTTTGCTCTTGTATAGCTCAATATTGTTAATCTGAATCCATCTTCAACTCTTTTGACACAATATGCAGTTCACTTCATGCCCTGTACTTCGGCGATTTATATATATCTTGGAAATCTGGCTTCAAGAATGAACAGAGAAGCGCTGTAATTGAGATGGTCAGTGTTTAAACTTTGAAAGCTGCGTAATTATCTCATAGGAAATATGTATTCATGAGAAGGTTACAAATGAATGGCCCTGAACGCTTCGACTCTGTTATTGCATGATGGTCCGCTGTGATATTTTAGTGGACGGGATAGACTTTGAGCCCTGAAAAATCTGCGAATATCGCTTAAGAGTCTTCAGAATCGAAGATTTATTCGCCCACCAAACTCAAATACATCTCATGAACAGGCAAAGTGTCGTGGTCAGATGCAAACTCCACGTCAAGTTGCTAACCGGCTTCTGATCATTTGTACGAACCAAAAGACATGAAGTGAGCCTCTCAACTTCAATTACAAATCCGCATATTTTCCTGGTGAGTGCTAGATGACTGATGGGAAACTTTACTTAACAGTTTAAGTTTACGATATCTGATGACTGTATAGAGTCAACTTGCGCCACTTTCCCTATCTTTAATCCTACGAGCATAAAATCACCATATCCCCCGGGCGCACTGTTTCTTTCATTCACACATTCGCAGACCTTTTTTGTTATTTCTGCTGATTTAAGCTCTGAGCCACAAGTCTCAACGATGGCTCGTACCGTGCTGCCCCTCATCCTCACTACAACCAACTTCATCTTGCGCCAGACCTCCTGCAAAATGGAGGAACCGCGTATCATTTCGGGTTTCAAACGGGTCGCATGGCCTGAACTTCGTCGGTTGCCTCTAACAATCGTAACGCATCTCCTGCCCACGGGCATCGAGCAAGTACGTTGTGACATTGAACGAGAAGCTGATAGAATCATGGAGAAGCATGGCCTACACTTTCAAGATGAGGAAGACCACTGTGATCCTGAAATGGAAATGCGAGGAGTTCCCGGGAAGTCTGGCACCAGTCTACCAACCACTCTCATGTTAGCACCATGGTCAGCTGAGAAGCAACGTGATTGGGAAAGGGCTGCACAAGAGATGGCCATATTTTTGACTGATCTATCAAGGGTCTGCTCATTTAGCGAAACCGAGATTCATGTGGAAATAGTGGCCCTCGAACTAGTGCATAGAACCCATTACACCAAGATCGACGATCCTGTCCTTCAAAGTGCTTGGGAATGCTTGAGCGGTACTATCTTCCACCGCCTACAGTCGTTCAGAGCAACTCAGGGTCACATCACATGTCTGTCTCTCCAGAAGTACGGCACGAACGAGTATGCTGGAGCCAACCCACCTACAGTATATATTTCGGTTGATTGTGACTCTGATGAAACTCAATGGCCTGAAGTTATCACAGAGGTCAAAAGAACTCTTGATGCGACCGGATGGGATAATGTTCAAGTCCATATTGAGCATAACGAGGGCATGATTGGTCATTTTGATAACTTCACCAACCCCACAAGAGAACAAATGAATCTTGGTTACAGGCTGAAGAAACGCATTGAAGATGATTATTACTCAACCGTCCACATTGGGGACGACTTCGGCGCTGCGCGTGATATCAAGCGGACCGATGGCGAGCAACTGAGTCCGACAAATGGCACTATTGGCTGTTTCGTGCAGCTAAGAACTTCTGAGCCTGAGCCGACTTGGCGGACCTTCATCCTTACATCTTATCAATCGGCCAGACCTGCCTTTAATGGCTTCACCGTGACACCAGATGGTACAGATTCTAGTGTTGCACCTCCGATAGCCAACAGTGACCTCTGGACGGTCGATTCAGCTGGGTATACACCCGATTCGTCGGCCAAGCCTACAACCTTTGAAAGCCCCTCTCGATCGAAACATGATTTTAATACTCGCTGCATTGACCAAAGTATCGTTTGTTTTACGAACCGTATTCCATATTGGGAGAAAAAGGATTGTACTACAAGGGAGAAACGACTCCAAGAAATTAGGGAGAGAATAGCGGCTTTAAAAGCTGAAAGGAAACAAAAGACCGAATCCTTCGAGGCTAACAAACAGGCGCTCGGAAAATTGTATGCCGCATCAGGATTCAGACGAAGGGTTGTAGGCAGAAGAATGGACTGGGCGCTGATCGAGGTCGATCGGCCATGGCATGATCGTCTTTCGGAATGCGACGAATGGGAGTCCCCCCGTTCTCTTTTGTTAAAGACGCCTTTGATGACCTATGGGATGCAACTACAAGAGCGAACTCGGTCTATTGAAGCATTGAGTGGATATGGTTGGTCAAGCTATAGAGCCGATGTCTACAAGATCGGAACAGGCAGTGGGCCCACCGTTGGATCGTTTCTTTGCACAAACAACCTTGCCATGATAAGAGATGACCAATACACGAACCCCTCGCCAACAGAAGAGATAGCTTTTGCACCAGAACGCCATAATTATGATACGAGTCAGTGGGGATTCTGTGCTCCTGGGGATTCAGGATCTGTTGTCTTTGACGAAAATGGGGGTATTGTTGGTCTTGTGATTGGGGGACATAAGAATAATAACTCGGACAACTATGGATATGGGTATGTAACTCCTATCGAGTACGTTTTCAAGGATATCAAGGACCTTTTAAAAGAACATGTTCTTGATATTCGGATAGCAGAGCCCTAAAGGCTACTTCCTTCCTATTAGCCGCTTATTATCAATTAAGATGCATTTTTAATCCTTTCATCGAAATTTAAATTGCTATCCTATAAATGCGTTGGGTCAATGCTATGGCTTTGCAATTGCGGTGTGAGGAAGTTTTGTTTCGCTTAGCTGTATCCCTGCTCAAAGTCTCGGCAGTAAGAACACATGAATGAGTTCATTGTATAGGCATATCATTATCTCCATTTGCATCTCGACATTTGACACGGCGCCATATTCGTTCGCTCGTGCTAACGCTTCAACTCCTTCATTACAGATCATGCCCTTCATTGAATCCTATAACATATAGGGAAGGTACAATATTCCCGGCAATATGCACCAGAACAACATGTCTTACCAAAGCTAGGACTCGGCTGCTGATCGAAATCAAATCACCCCAATTTGATAATCCCGTTCTTCGGGACGGAGTGAAGCCTGTCAGTGCTGGCATCGGATTTCCCGGGTGGCTGTTGGGCTAAATCCGGGAACCAAGCCTAAACAGGAAAGACGAGATCGACAGCCGGATACTATGCCCAAAAAGCCTCAACCTGCAATCATGCTCAAATAACATAGGGAGGACACCTGCTAGGGGAAGTATCTAGGACAGAAGAAAGGAATACAGGCTCTTAACTGCACTGTAAAGGACTTGTTCATTCCAGCCTCTTGGGGCAACTAAAAAGAGGAGTAACGAAAAAGTTCTAAGATATCAAAGTCTAAAGTTGACACGCAGCATGTTTGGCATACACGGCTACAAGGCAAAGCAAATACTTCTGTCTCTAGTAAAAAGTTATTACATAAGAAACTGTTTGAGGTATAATAAGTAATTGTATTATCTGGAAGGACTGTTATACGCGACTCAAAAAAGAAGAAGAAAAAGCTTTGTCCCGGCTTTAACCTGACCAAAACATGCCCCCATAATCACAAAGCCCAATCGTAGCAAGAACCCAAACAACAAGACCCATCCTATGCACAACTGCAGATACCTGGGAAGCGTTCGATGCCGAAGTACCTTGGCTAAAGGTAGGACTAGGTGTGGCTGGATTCACAGCGATGGAAGACTGTGCTGGCGTGGAAACACGGAACCAGTTCGCAGCAACAGGTTTCTTCAACTCCGTTGCTTCCGTAAAGTCGGTGAGATTGAAGCCAATTCGATTGTTGATGCTAGTGGTGATGTTGGCGAAAGATGTCTTGTAGCTGTCTGGGACCTTGAAGTTCGGTGGCTGCTCAAAAAGGAGTACGACGTAATTGTGGGTTTGACCTGGCGGAGGGCCCGGAGGCATGTACGGTACCAAAGCGGCAATGTTGGTTGATTTGAGGGAACCGTTCTCAGACAAAAGATACGGCCTAATCCAATGAATCAGGGTTGTTGGAGATGCTCCTGGTTTGAGGACCACGCTGATATCCATCATGAGAGCCATATGCATAGGTGCTTTCGGAGACATGACAGCAAGAGTAGGGGCATCACTGAGGCCTAATAGTTGAAGATTCTGTTAGTTCACTGCAGCATGATGTGAGTTCTATTGACGAGAAAAGGCTTGCCTTTCTGTGGTTCCACTCTCCCGGGAAGGACATCGAGACTTCCGAACGTTACTTGGAGGTTGTTCTTGGTAGAGGGTTGAAAGTTTGGCGGAGTTTGCGCCATGACAGCAGATGAAACAGCTGCCAAGAACATGGTGGTCTTGAAGAGTGAGAAGCGCATGTTGTAAAATTGATTCAAAAGAATGTGTCTGTTTCTTTTCTGGTGATCGATAACGAATGTTTGTTGGATGCTTATGAGATGAATGGACTGCACTGACGAGTGCATGCATTTTATATCATTGAAGTCCTGCCCCTTTCCAATATCTCAACAACGGTGGCTGGAGTCCATCACCGACTACGGACTCAAAATTGTGTTTGTCAGCTCGCGATCCTTGTAGATTCATGTGATTGCGGTTGGTTGTGGACTGTAGGCGGCCTTGTTGCAAAGATCATCCCTCTGGCTTACCAAGCAGAGAGGTGTTTAGAATTCAGCCCCAAACACACGATTCTTGGCAATAACTCTGAAAGCCGTTGATGACCAGCTGCCTCAAAAGGTTAGACAGAATTCAAGTGCTGACTGCCGAACCGGGGTTGTTAATACAGTCTAATTGATGGCAATGTCATTGCGAAGCTTATGGCTGACGAAATTTAGGTTTCGCTCCCTTGGCTAACTACTGTGTCTAAGTCCAAGAGGAATCCTTCCCGGAGAAACTTGTGAGGAAGAAAGTGACGTATTTGACACAGCCTCACAGGGCAGGACTCAACTCCGTTGACCCGAAGCAGAATGACTGAAGTCGCAACTTCCGAAACCCAATCGGATGCCCCTGTTAAAAGATAGCTGGCTGCGCAATGTGCGTCGCCCGGCACTTGATAGGCATTAACAATCTTTGGTGTGTGAGGCGCGTGATGTGAGCCATCAGCTGTAGGGTCTATCAACTCAAAATAACACTCCTATTAGAGTCGGTCCGGAGAGTATACCAGCTACCCAATACAATTGCCTAAGTTAAGCTTTATAAGCCTATCTGATGATGATCACGTCTGGCGCAATAACTTGTAGTAATGAACTTTGCAGTGAGACTGATGCTTCGTCACCTCGAGAAGGCTTTGATGACAGGTAATCTTGTCAGCAGAGGTTCCGGAAGCTAGACCCATATTAGCCGTTCCGTTCCCGCATTCGATCCGGTAGCGCAAGCCACGGATCCTTGTGGATGGCCACTGCAGATCGTACATCGACAGTGAGGGAGGCCTCGTATTGTTAGTCTATTACGACGCCAGATACGAATATACACTTCGGGGAATGTTTTCCGTCGGATGTATCTGATGCCAAATGGCAATATGTATATGGTGTTTTCCCAATGGGCTTTTACAGTGATTGCGATCCATCCGTTCAGCTCAATGGTCAACAGAAACTTCATGGTGATGGCCGACAAGATATCAATTCCCAAGAAATCGCGCCCTCTCCACGCTCTTCGTAACAATGGACCTGAAGAATTAGCCCTGGAGCGATACAAATTACGCGAACTGGCAGAAGGCTGACCCTGCTATCGGTACGACCAAAAGTGCGAGGGTATACCTACGCTTGCATTATGCTAACTCAACTCAATAGCGATGCATGCGAGTGGACTAACTTCAAATCATTCTTCGGTCCAGATGCCCGTGTTTATACCACATGGAGCGAATACACCACAACGACTTCATTTCGCTTTCAAAGCCCGGCCACTAGCCCCCGTGTCGCGCTATTACTACAGACATTAGGCCCGATGCTACGAGAGCTGTTACTAAAATGAAAGCAACCATTACACAAGGATTTATCTTAGTTGTTTGTGAAGATGACGCTGAAAGCGACTGTCGCTTCTGTTTCTTCGGGACAAAAGAGGCGGGATATTGGAAGGCTACATATGTGCGCCATTGGTATGAGAAGGACAAACTGATGCCCGTGGATCCACAAAAGATTCCTGAAATCAACGATAACCATCTCATGGAGTCTCCGAGCGGATACAGGTATCTAGCATATTGTCAAGAAAAGACCATGGGTGTTCAAATAGCGAGAAATATGCCAGGTCATTTGCGGGACAAGGCTGAAGATGGAAATAAGACCACTGGAGACAAGGATGACCAGATCTACTGGCAGATAAAGGAATGGCTGGGTGGAAGAAAGATCGAAATCTAGCGGTCAATACAGAAGTTTCTTTTCATATAACAGACACCAGGTGATAGGAGTTAAATGCAAGCCAGTACAGAGCGCATATTTCCACCATGTCATTCGCCGTTTCATCTCTGGTATCTAGAATCAGGCCACGTCACGCCACGAATTCGTGCTTTACAGACTTTATCCAGTTCTTCACTCCGTCAGGCCGGCAGCCGAACGGAAGCGCAGAAATATATGGCCCAACCTGAATGGTTAAGATAGAGGCGAATTTTGGCGGACTCAGCTCAATGGGATAGAACTGCCAACTCTATCGACGCATGGGCCAGGAAGAGGCACAAATTCTGTGGGTCATGAAGCTGTCACAGAAAGCACCACAGGTATACGAGACGCTTGATCGGGTTATTTCTAATTGCAGAATGATGGATTTGAGTCTACTTCCTCTACATCATGGATAAACTCTACGGACATCATATCAGAGGAACTTCGATTACAAGATAAGCACAGAATGATGAATAAACCACATTATGAGACAAGTTCAGTGCCAACGGAAGAATCAGTATAAACACTACCAAACGCTCGTATATCTTTTGACCGTTCCAAAGACTGAAAGAATTCCTTCGCCACTCTCTAAATCCAACATTATACCTAACGAGATCTACGAACCAGAGTCTGGCGTCTGCTCCTGCGGAATGGAAGGTCCAAAGTTTGCCCATGGGAATATGCCTGCCCCATCCCAACTAGCAACGTCGAATGGAAAGGACTGCTGTAATTCCATCATGCCGTGGTCAAACATTGTATAAAAGGAATTGTCGTTCCCTGAAACTGTGGAAACCTCGGAGGATTGTTTCCTTTTGGCCCGATCATGGCATTCTTTGATGATACCCGCCGCTTTCCGAGCGACGACGTTCTCGTCCATGACGCTCAGGATCTCAATGGCGTTCTGGATGAGCTCTTGCCAGCGATGCTTCTCTGGTGCCTCCACGTTTTGACTGGCAACGAACAGAATAATAGTCGATGCAAATACAATGTAGGTCGTGTTGAACCACCTGTCAACAGTTGGTTTGGATGCGAAAATGAGATTGGGAGATACTCACCAGGTGCGGAAGAACTCATGATGGCAATAGTTCTCGTACACAAGTTCTATGGTTAATCTTGCTGATTGAACGCATTCTCTTAGACTTCCGGCAAAGTCAATGGATGGGCATTGAACGGAAACCGTATCAATGAGAGATGCATGGAGCAACATACGGACGTTATGATACTCTGTCGTTCGTTAGTCTTTATCTCTAACAAGGAATACAGTAGTCATACTGGTACCAAGGACGAGCTTTTGCTTCCGGATATATGCAGGTTGTCTGGTCAGCTCTAATGATCCAGCCGATGGGCTGCTCTTCGTAGGCCGCAGTGCTGGTGGGATACTATTCAGCCAAGCATCCAGTTTCATATCGATGTCTCGGATAGCCTGTGATTTCGGCGGCATTCCAATGAGAGGACAGTAGAGCTTAGTTGAGATCTCCCTGGTCAGTCGGGCGAGTCTGACCAGATGTTCGATGATACCAACTTCTGGTGGCTCCAGACTTCCGCTTTCGTGGGGTTTGGTGCGGATTTGCGGAAATGGCCGGGTATGATAGCCATCATGATTCAAAGAGTCAGGCCGCCCCAGGGAGAAGCTAATCTCGATCTCAAAAGAGTAAACAGCCCACCAAGTTCGAGTCTGCGCCATACACAGTTCAACGCTGTCTTGCGTCGACCTTTTCACGCAGTCCCTGTTTAATCCCATAGCTAGCGCGGTTCGGACTGCCCTGCCAACATAGATATATGCAGTATGAGGACTCAACTCATTTTGACATATTTTGGCAAGGAAAAGGAAGCACTGGACAGATTCCAAATCAGTCGTTTGACAAAGTCGCCCGGCTAACGCACGGGACTTTTCAAGAAGCTTTCTACTCCATTCAAAACGACCCTGGCCATCAATGAACTCGTCGTCTCCCCAGACCATTGTCAACGCACCGAATCCTAGGACGGCGTAGTACAAGGCCAAAAAGCTCGTGGTGCACGAACTGCGCCCCTGTAACCAAAGCGTCTGGCAGCGCCTCAAAAACTCATCTTTGTACAGCAGGGGCTGTGCGTAGTGCAGGCCATCGAAATAGCCTTCGATGAATTGCGTAGCGACATGGGGAAAATAATCTGCCGAGCCTTCTGGGAAAGGGTATCTTTTGGAACACTCGGACTCGTCAGGGTCGACAGCCGGGTTGTGAAGGCAAGAAACCAGAGACTGTTGCACGCTGCCCATATCAAGTGGCGAGCTATGACCGCCTCTCTCAGCTAACTGAAGGAAGTTGATAGTTGAGCTACTTCCGTGAAATTCGATGTTTTTGGTGTAGGAATTCGTATCGAGGACTTCTCCAAGATCTTTGGAGGTAGATGAAGCGTCTGTGCCCGGGCCAAGTGCATTTAATGTCAGCATTCCAGAGCCCTCGGGGGTGGTTGAATATTGCGGACTGATATTGGGGTTCATAAGGCTCAACGAGCCAGTGAACGCTGGTGAGGGTTGGGCATCTACGCTACCAATACGGTTTGGATTTGTGTCTGAAGGATACGAGGTTGACGAGGGTATGCTATTCTCGGTAGTGGGGTATGTCTGGGCACTGATGGAGAATCAAATTACTGTTCCAGAATAAACGACAAGATGATAGAAGACTGGGCCATGCATCATAAAAGCTTTGGGGGAGTTCTCGGCGTAGGAGATATGACAGTAACTTTATGAAACATCATGGCAATTGGAATGAGATAATGGAGGGAAGGCTGTCACTCTGCTTACCTGGGCGTGCTCTGCACGTAGCGATTATTATGCGTCTTATAAACACAATTGGCTTCTCGGACTGGGCAATGTCAGCGGATAGAATCTAAAGGGCCAGGCTTCGCTATTACATACACCGGCAGCTCTGGCACGGCATGAGTCCGTCGCACTTGATCTTCTTGTAACGGCATATCTCACAGGCACGAGGTGTTCGAGGGCCTCTTCTGGTTCTAGAAGACGAAGCATTCATCTTGGGCTGGGCTGCTTGAGTGTTGATAAGATTATCTAAGAAAGTTATTTGCCATCGTTATTGTCACAATGCAACGGTGGGCGGGGTCCGGCAGATAAAGGGAGATCAGCACAGGGATGCGGGGAATCGGGGCTGTGTTGTCTGCATAGCCCGCGAGGCTGGCATGATGACGAGAAAGTGTACATATTTTCTGACAAATCATGTTATTCAGCGATAGCACAGCCAATTTGCTTACAGAGCATTCGTAGTTAGTTGACATCGAAGATAGAACATTGGGATGTGAGTCTATTCCTGCTACTGTCTAAATTCAACATCACCTAAGCCGGCTCCCTCTTCTCACATAGTACGTAGTTTATAAAAAGAGACCTCAAGATGCAGTTTTAGAAAGTGTAGAGAGTCTAAGACCTTAGTGCTGGTTAAAAGAATATATAGGTGATTTGGCAAGTTCAAGGGACTACAGGAGTATCGATGCATTTATTCAAACGCTATTGCGGGTTCTCAAGGAACTTGATCACCGCAGCACGAGCCCTGATTGACTCCGGGATCACCGGATCCCAGTTAAAGCCATGCCACATTCCCTCAGAGACCAGGAGCTCGACCTTCACACCAGCTTCCCTCAGTTTCCAATAAAAGCGTATCCCATGGCTAAGTGCAAAGTCCCGCGTCCCGACAGTGATGACCGTCGGCGGGAAAGAGTCATCATAATCAGCGTAAATAGGCGAGTAAAGAGGATCCTTCATATCGATTCCGTCGGGAGCATAGTTCTGGGATACCATGCCAGTTAGGAGACTAACAGGCATGATATCGCGCCCTAAAGAGTTGAAGACCATCGAATCGCCAGCTCCACTCAGGTCCAGGGCAGGCGTGCAGAGATACATCCCAGCTGTTGGCATCGGAAGACCCTTTCGTCTCGCAACAAGAAGCATGGATACAAGTATCTGTGCACCTGAAGAGCATCCCATTGCATGAATATCGGAGGGATCGATAGGAGTGCCGCCTGGAGGGCCGTTTTGGAGGAGCTCGCTGTATACAGCAAGACATTGATCTCGGGCTTCAGGATACTTGGCCTCAGGAGATTTGGTGTAATCAACTGAGTAGACACGAACACCAAGTTCAACCGCCATAGTCAGCGCAGCTCTATCTCTGGAGCTTCCCATAATAAACGCTCCGCCAAAGACATTGAAGAGGATTTTCTTCTGTTTCTCAGGCTTGATGACTGGCAGTTCAATTACGGCAACCGAGACTCCAGAGATGATAGTCTCGGTGACCTGGATCTTGTGCTTCTCAATAAGTTGAGCTTCACCAGGAGCTGTCTTCTCTGTAAAGCCCTGTCGCAGACCTGGGACGCGACATGGTGATGTTATGAAGGATGAGATGGTGTTGGCCAGTGGCGGGTGGCGGATCTTTGTGAGAAAGTCGACTGCTTCTGGGCTAAGCGTTGCCTTTTGGCCTTCGGTGAGGGATACCATTGTGATAAGAGAGATTTGAGATGGAACGATAAGGGAAGAGTCTTGTAGTTGATAGAGTATATCATATTTTGCCTGGGCTTTAATGACCTTATATTCTTTACATTCAATCTCCCAGGTTGCTCATCTCCTGCTCGCTCGTTTCTAATCTGGTAAGTCCGCAAGTGTAGCTCGTACTGCTCCGCCATTTCCGTTCCTCGCGTCACCATCAGTGAACCGCCGTCAGCAGTGAGTTGGTTGTGACTGGTAAGCTGAAAGCCGAGTCTAAAGTTCGTGGCTTGGAGCCATATTGGGCTTAGCTCGGGTCTTGCAGCCTGATCTGGATTAGCTTCCCTCGTAGCATGGAGCCATTCTGGGTTTAGCGAGCAATGTCTTGGATCCCTGCAGTCAGTCGGCTAGTAAACGGACAATGCATCATGAATTCATTACTATGAGACCGGAGGTTATATAAGGTTGATATGGAAGTCGTCCAAGACTCACAAATAAGAAGTAAAATCAATCGTCTAATTTAGTTATCAGCACCACATCACCCTCACTTCCTCATCATGTCCTCTTCCCAGCACGGCTATGTCAAAGACCTTCTCATTCAACCCCAAGCAACACGCATGGGCTATACCAGACTTGGTCGCTCTGGCTTGAAGATTTCCAAGATAATTCTGGGAGCCATGTCTTACGGAAGAAAAGATTGGCTCAAGTGGGTTCTCGAGGAAGACGAAGCCCTGCCCCTTCTCGAACACGCCTTCAAAGCTGGCATCAACACTTGGGATACTGTAAGTCAGTCCCCTGTACTTGACAATGTGACCTCGAGTACTAACCACCGACATTCATTCGTCAGGCCGATCTCTATTCAAACGGAGTCTCTGAAGAAATCATTGCCAAAGCGCTGGCAGTGTATAACATTCCCCGAGAGCGCGTCGTCATCATGACCAAATGCCGCTTCGCCACCAGCGCCCCAGGCGAGCCTCAACTCTCTGTCTTTGCAGCTTCCATCAATGATGGGGAGATGGTGAACAGAGCTGGACTGTCGCGCAAGCATATCTTTGACGCAGTTCAGGCTAGTGTCAAGAGGTTGGGCACATATATCGATGTTCTGCAAATCCAGCGCATGGATCCAGATGTTCCGCGGGAGGAGATCATGAAGGCACTCAACGACGTGGTCGAATTGGGTTTGGCACGATATATCGGAGCTAGCTCTGTAAGTTGAGCTTGGTCACTCCCACTTGATGCATGATGGCTAATATGTGCCGCTAAAGATGCCAGCATGGGAATTCCAAGCGCTGCAAAACGTGGCAGAGAAAAATGGCTGGCATAAGTTTATTTCGATGCAAAACTATTACAACCTCCTCTACCGAGAGGAAGAACGAGAAATGATGCCATACTGCAAAGACGCAGGAGTTGGATGTATACCTGTAAGTCTAGCTTCCCAATTCTAACCATGTAGTCTTGCTCAAGTAGAATCTAGTGGTCTCCCAACGCACGTGGTGTCCTCGCTCGTCCCTGGAACGGCCTTGACGAAAAGACTTCACTGCGGACCCAGCATGACCAAACACTAAAGAGACTCTACGACCGAGAGAACGAAGCAGACAAGGCAACTGTCGACATAGTAGAAGAGGTGGCTAAGGCGAGAGGACTTCCCATGGCCGTAATTGCTACTGCATGGTGCCTGCATAAGGGAGTCAATCCGATCATCGGCCTGAATAGCAAGGAGCGTATCGATGAAGCGGTGTTGGCTGCTAAAATCACGTTGACGGATGATGAGGTTGCCAAGCTTGAATCAGTTTACCGGCCGAAGCCTGTTACTGGATATTAGATAGTTGTAAAACGCCGTTGTTATTACAAATTGATGTATGGATAGACTAAGAGTACAGTGGCTGAATCATCGTTGCCTCCATTATTGCATCAAACTTGTCCATCCATCTGCTCGTCCATTGATGATACTGGGTAGGCAATACCGAGTGAGCGATAGGTAGTGCAAGTCTCATCGTCTGTGTGCCGCAGTATCCGGCGTGTAGACAGTAGTCCACAGACATACAAATTGCAGTTGCGAGGCCTTCAATCTCCGAGCTATGTCTGTCGCAAGTATCCAGATAAGCGATAGATTGATTGAGAACTATCAGATATGCATAATATGTAACAATGATAGTGGCTGACATAACATCGTGGTATTTGTAGTTTGAGGGGAACGGGTAGCCCTCTGATACGGGAGAGATGGCACGAGGTTTTCTCAAATTATCATCTTGAGACGAATACTCTTGATACCATTGTCTCATGTCTTGCCGAAGCTGCTTTGCCGTTGAAAGGAGGGCAATTTGCGTCTCATCAGAAGAAGCCTTGTTACAAAGACTCGTCCTGCTCTGTAACCCCGGGATAAACGCAAAGTAACCGAAGATCCGGTGGTACATGTCAGGTGATGCTGGCAACAGCGGGAACTCGATCAGACCGTCTGGAATACTCTGCCAACTTTCGGACTCCAAAATGCAGGGCTGCCTAGAGGCCAAGGCTTCAGAAATCTAAACGGTGTCAGAATGGTATCGCAGGCCACGGAGGGTAGACTGACAATTGCTCCGCGACATGCAAGAAACATTGAGTACTCGAAGGCAGACTCGTAACACCGCCGAGCACCCCGGAGCTGCATCAATCGAGTAGCTCCCCCTGCATGTCTTATCCACTCGTGCCTAACGTTAACAAAAGTCTTTAAATTCTGCAGGTTAGCTCAAGAGTCAAAAACCAGATCAAGGATAAGATTATACCTCGAAATGCCCAAGAAGGACTGTTGCACATAGCACATCCGAACTAAGCTGCTCTTTAGCATCATCGAGAGCCAAAGCTAGACTTCTCACAGCGCATGAATACGAGATCTCTGCATTCCGCAGTGCGATGGGATCCCCGTATAGCTTTGCGAAGTAAGCCCATGCTACTGATAACGCAGCATGGTCCAGAACTGCACTGCTGCCCAAGCGAGGTGGAAGATGCCATAACCAGCTGCCGAGGAATGATATTTGCGCCGCTGAGGAGTTAAGCGGGAACATGGCTGACACGAAGGATGAGAGTATTTGGTCGCGCTCTGCTTTGAAGCTGCCTGGCTGGCTGAACCTAGCACCAGGGTTGGCTTCTCGTTGATGACGAAGCAGATCTCCGTTATGCCGAGTGTCACCTTTAGATGCCTTGTTTGGTGTTGATGTGGCGACACGTCTTGAGCGTCGGAACTTAGGTCCCTCGTCAACAAACTTCATCTCGCGGACATAGCCGGGACAAGTCCGTCCGCCTCTTCGGCACTGAGAGCAGCTTGGCCTTTCTTCGTCACACTGTCGCTACACTTAGAACTCGCTCTGTGGAAAGGCCACGAGGTTTCAAACCTTGATGCTTCGCTGGAGACATAGACGACATCCTTTGCTTGTTGGTATACCAACCATTGCGATTGTTGAGTGATGTTGGTTCAAATTATGTCAGCTTCCTTATTAGCAATTATTGGGTCTGACATCTGACTCGCTTATCTTATCAGCCCCGGTGCCGAAAGCGGCCAGTCATCCGATAGCTGATATCTCCGATTACAGTAATATGGGTTATTGAAAGCATGAAGTTAATAGTTCTATAACTTTATAGCGGAAAGCGTCCTGTTGACACGAAAGAATGGCAAACAAGGTACGTCAAATTTCCCTATAATTATATCTATTACTGCTCCCAAGAACCTCGTGAGCTAAATGGAGCGCTATGGAAGTCGCCATCTGTTCCATTATAGCCTGGAGTCCCAGTTTCTGTGTAATAACTGCAAAAATCCTCGTTGACTTCGGTTTGTGGAGATTTTGAATGCCATTCATTATTCCATGCCCCAGAGTCCGCCTCTAGAGCCTCAACCAACCTCTTTAGCTTTGATTAGCGTCCTTTAAATCTTAAATTAAACTAATAACACCTACCGTGGTTGGATCTCCGAAGGACGTGATATAGTATCCTTGGATAGATTGGTCTGTAGTTGGATCCTATAAAACGCAAAAGATCAAACATCAGCTTGCAGTTTCGAGTGAAAGGAATGCTGTCAAAGAGATTGATTATCTCGCTCGAACGTACGTAGAGCTGCCCAGAAGGATGTTCGGATGGAACTTGTGTGTTGGAACTGTCCCGTGGAATAGCTGGATGCCATGGAAGAGCAGGCACTTCATTCGGCGCCCCTTGAATATCCCTTCCATTATGGTTAGCGGGTAGCTTTCATTTGCACAGTGAACCAACTTACTCTTTATCAGAGTGCCAATGACCTAGGAACACTTTAGCACATGCTGCAGCAGAATCAGAAGCAAATGGTTGCCACGTCTTGTTTTTATGACTATCCGCATAGTCACAAACACCTTTGATAACAATGCAAGGGAATACATCCCATACACCAGCACCCTCCATCTCAAAACCTATAGCATTTTTGTCTTTAGTAAGCCTATCCCGCTCTTCCCCAGATTTTATAACAGAGTTTCCAGATGCAAATATCCCAAAATGAATGTTTGGAGAAGGAAACGACTGGCGGCTCCCTTTTCGGAGAATGTAATAGGTCGCACTTCGGAGCCTTTCAGTCTGCCTCGTGGTTTCTAATTTCGCCAATAGGGCTCTTATTTCAAGGCTGGGCCGGCCAGGGACTTCGCTCAACGTATCCTTCATCTCAAATCTGTCCGAAAATCGACGACCAAAATCATAAGACACAATGCCGGTGCTGATAATCACATCACCAAGATGAATTTGGATCCCTTTGTTCATAGGGGCACCTCCGCAGATGCCGACGACTAAGGCCAATCTGATACTCGTAAAGCTTAATTTGCAAAACGCAGCGATAGTGCCGGCTGCTATTGTCCCTATGCCAGGAGGATGGGCCAAGACGACGTGGTGACCGGACATGATACCTATCGAATAGGAATTTGGGTCACCTCTGGCTTTTCCGATACGGGGACTGCCATCGTCGTCATCCCAGTGATGATCGAAAAGAGACAGAACTGAATTGGCCTCGAGAGGAAGTGCGCATATGAGAGCTACTTTAAACTCGTCGCGCGATCTGGGTCTTGCTGGATCCATGTTGAATGAAGAATGTAAGGTTTAAAATACATAGCAGAAGTCTTACTTCCACCATTATTCTCGTTCTTTAAATGCTTACGAGGAAATGTGTCTTGAGCTTATTGGACGACTTCTATCCAATAAGGCATGCTTTTTCAAGCCTCAGCGTGACTTGACTTCGCAGCCTGGTTTTGCTTATATGCACGTTTTAGCCATAAAACCAGGGTATGTCGGGTTCGCCCCTTCATTTCCCCAATCTCACTCGTTGTCTGACAAAGAAGTTGTTAATTAAGAACCTTCATTTACACTTTAAAGCGAACTATGTATTCCCATCAGGAAGGCGGCCCATTCCCGCTTCTACACTAATTATCTTATCACAATCACCCTTGCTTACTACTAGGATAGGGTCCATTCCCAAATTTTATCTTATTTCATATGCAGAAAATACTCTTGAATAAAGTCATCCGGGGCATCTGGAGTGGGAACGCTTAGATAATTCAGAGACTTAAGATAGTAAATATCGCCGGGCTCCCGGCTGGATATGTGTGTTACACTCTAATGTGTTATCGTGTTACCTGGGGCTTTATAGGTCTCTAGACTTTAATAGACCTAGCTTAAAGGCAATAGGTTTCAGTTTTCCTTTTTAGTATAGCCTATTTGTAATAAGTCTTTAATTCCTTTAAATTACATTAGTAGGCCTTTAAGGCTATAGTTTAATAGATTTTTAAAAGGTAAAGATACTTTGTTTTATAAGTATAGAGGGCTAGAATAGGTAATTGCAGCTTTATGGCTTAAATCTCTAAATAAAAAATGTCTTCTTGATACAAAAGAATAACAGGAGACTTACATCGCTCTTTATTAAATGCTGTTCGATGTATCTTCCAAATCCATTTCAAACATATCCAGGAACTCAGGTGTCTGGAAAGACTCTATCCCAAGCTCATATCCACCCAAGTCTCCAATTCCATCAAATATGTCAGATTTCATCCCAACACAAACGTCTTGAGCCTCTAGGTTTTCTTTCTCGTCCGTAGATGCTTCATCACTGCCAATAGCAGAGTTCCCGCTTTTAGCAGGAACATCAACACCAACAAAAATGAGGCTCGGACTTGAGAACTGTGCTGTGGCCAGTAGTAGACTCAGTGAAGAGTCCTCTGCATAACACCCAACAGCCAACGAGAGATCAATCGTCCGCGAGAGGCGAAAATAGAGAATGGGCTCCTGTAATAAGAACTTTCCCCAGTCGTCAGCTACCTGGAGCGATGCAGATGGCTTGGAGCAAATTGAACTGCTGGGGGCGAAATCAGCTCTTGATGAACATGTATCCAAGGTACCAGAGGTAGCAGAGTCAATAGCAGATCTGATGAAAGTCCACACGTCGTCAACACCATCATAAAGGTTCTGTAGTCCCTTCATCGCCTCCATGTATATGTTAAGTCTACCTTGTTTCCGGGCTGTCTGCGATGGTAGTTTTGCAAGTTTGACATCCAAGATATGCAACACCAGTGGTAGCGCTGCGTACGCGATGCTGGTAGATGTTAGACCGGCTGGCTCTGAGGAAAGGGCTCGACTTACATGCTAACCGGAAGAAATTTGGCGACTTTGAGTTGAACTAGTTCCTTAAGATTGTCCGTGATACCTAATGTCGCGTCTTCCAGCTGGAGCCGTGTCTGATGTAGTTTGTCGTCCATACCAGCTCCTGGCGAGGCGAGACTGACGACAAATGCCTCGTATTGGTATAGCGCGACGCGAGCGGAGCTTGAGAGAAGATGATGGTTAGTAAACAACACCCTGCAGGAGTGTTAACTTACTAATAGTATATGTACATCGAGTTCGTATATAGAACGAGCGACTTCTCGGTACTTATGATTCCGGCAGGGGTAGGGAACTGGATAGTCGCTTTGTCAAACCACGCATCCAAGCTGGCCTCGCAGAATCTGATGGATTCTTGTATTTGCTCCTGATTACCGATCATGGGGGATATAGCGTCTGCAGCGGATTGTCCCATCCCGTAGACTGTCTGGACCACGCTGGTGAATGGAATTGCCAGTTCGCAGAGACTGATGAATAGCTGGACCAAACTCCGCTTGGTTTGCGACGAGTATACTTGTGATCCTTGAATTTCTTCCGCAAAGTCTTGCTCCGTTAAATGGTCCAGAGCTGGATTTATCGATGTAATATGCAACTGTCTCCGAACGCCAAGAGGCAAGATCCGATCTCGCACTATGCAGCACCACCAAAGCCGCTTCAGCCTGTTGGTCATATCTGAGTCTTGATCTGGCCTTCTGTGAAACTGGTCGGCTTCTACGCCCTGTGCATACTGAATAGCTGTTGCGAGCAAGATGGAGTTTGTACGCGCTCGGTCTCGTGAGGTGGCGTAGTAAGTTAGTAGCAATGCCCCTTGCGCATTGGATACGAGGTCTCTGCCAGAACATACATCCAGTAGAAGCTATAGAAAGTTTAGCCTTGAGGTCACAATCTTGGATGCAAATAGGTTACCTTGGCCCGACGATAGTATTTCTCTCTAGCATTACGCCTGGAGGTAAACCCAAGACACTTCAACGTCGAGAAAGGAACGAACTAATAACAGTTAGCTACAATAGTAATGCGAAGGCATGCCGAGATCGCTTACACTACATGAAGTGAATAACATTGCCTGAAACAAGAATAGTGAAATTCTTGAGCCTTCACACGGCTCCTTGTCCCCAGAGTAAACAGCCCAGAACTGGGATTCATCCAACAGAGGAAGACCGGGATGCACGTGAAGAAAATACTCTCGAATGAAGTCGTCCAGGGCGTCGGGCGTAGGAAGACTCAGACAATTCCGAGACCCAAGATAGTGAACATCATCCGGCTCTAGGCCAGACATGTCGACGGTAAGGAATGGGTAATAGGAGTATGTAATATGTGACCTGGTGTTGGGTTCTATACTCTGACGGGCACACGTGTCATCTGGAGCCCCATAGGGTTCAGGATCATGATATACCTCTCTTCGAACCACTGGCTGCTGGTTTGCCTCGTCAGTGCACCCCGTGGCTGTCAAGTCCTCTATGTTGTCGAAGCACGTCGATGGGCTCTCGGGGCTATGATCTGACGGGCTTCCAAAGAGTAAAGATTCTTGATCCAAGCAATACGGAGAGGTAGGACCGGTGACTGCGGCGTCTTTGCTTTCTTGTTGTTGTGAGAAGCTATTTCGAAACACCATCGGCTTTGGTCCCTCGGCTGTGACTGGTGGTCTTTTGCGGCTTTTCCTGTCAACGATCGATCATACCATTAAAAGAAAGAACTTACTATTTGACCCTCCGGGCTACAACTGTGCATTCAGTATCATCAAGCGCGCAATTGGTACACCTTTGCGGGTTTCGGACAACATCGCAGCGGACTTTTCTGGCGCGACAGTTCATACAAGCTTGGGAGGCTCGTCTTCGCGCAGGCGCTGACTTTGGAGTTCCTAGTTCCTGCATCATTGAGTTGCAATTGGTAATGTATGTTCTGGTGAAGACTGGTAATGGAAGTTCGACTGGGTGAAGCAGAGAAGGGGGGACCCGGCTGGCCGGAGAGTTTAAACGTGGGGTAGCATTTCGCGGGGTCAATCTGGGGAAGTTGAACAGGCTGCAAGAAAACAAAGTATATTCCAGCATTAATGCAGCTCCTAACTCGTTTCGTCAGACTATTCCTGTAAAGACGCGACGCGCTTTGTGACCTGGGAACAGTCCCTGATCCAGTGACCAGTAAAAGCTGGTCCAATATCACTAGTCTGAGAATAAACTTCACCACCGGAATCTTCGGACTGTCTCGCGAAACAAAAGGTGTAAATTGCTGATCAGTACAACACTCAATCTTAGCGACCTGCAGTTAGTGTCACGCTCCATTCCCCGCCGGCTCAAAATTTCTGCCGAGGGTGAAATTTCCACCGAAAATCTCCTAATCAGGATAAGTTCACCCGCCAATTGATCATAGACGAGGACTGGGATCCCTGCTAGCGAAGCCATCCTTGATCAATCGCCGAAGAATCTTGCCAGAAGGAGATTTTGGAATGGCATCGGTGAATACGATACCGCCTGTGATTCGTTTGATGGGCGATAGGCGCTTGTCCATGAATGACAGGATAGACTCTGGTGTCGTATCTGGCTTCTTCCGGACGATGTGTGCTTGGGCATGTTCGTGTCCGTCACTGTTGTCGGGCTGTTAGTAAAGTGCCACGGCAGGCTAGTGATGTACTCATACCGCAGAACACGGATAACGGCGCAGTCTAGGACACCTTCGTGCTCTAAGAGATGGCCTTCCAGTTCTGATGGTGCGACTTGGAACCCCTTGACCTTGATGAGTTCCTGGTATTCACCGTTAGTGCACGCCTTGAACGAGTTCCTACAGATACAAACCTTTTTGCGATCAACAATGGTGACTAACCCAGCCTTGTCAATCTTGATAATATCTCCAGTCTTAAGCCAGCCATTATCAGTGAAAGACTCCTTGGTAGCAACCGGGTTCTTGTAGTAACCCTTGAAAATATTCGGTCCGCGAAGTATGGCCTCCCCTTCTTCGTCATAGCCGAGAGCTTTGCCATTCTCATCGATAATCTGGAGCTGCATATTGGCCACTAGGTATCCAACGCTTCCATGAGAGGGATCAAACTCGTCTGGCCCAAAGATCGAGATCGACATGGTGGCCTCACTCATACCCCAACCTTGTCGGCTGCGGGCGCCCGTCTTGCTGAAGAGTGCCTCGAGTCGTTTTTCGACATCCGCCTGGAGTGGTGCTGCTCCGCAGACAAGGAACTTGACACTGGAGAGATCATACTGAGAAACAAGGGGACTCTTGACGAGCATAGAGACCACTGGGGGCGCAAAGATTAGGTAAGTTACTTTGAACTTCTGGATCGTGCTGAGGAATGACTTCAGATCGAACTTTGGCATGATGACGGTGGTGCAGCATCGTTTAACGTTCAAGATGCAGAAGGTGATGAGGCCCACTGAGGTCAATAGTCAGTTCATGTCACGAGCGTCAAGTAAGTGGAGTGA